CGTCGTTGATACTCCTAGATCAGGGGGCGGACCGTTGCAGGAAGGTGATCCCGAGACAGAGGAGTCGGGGGCATCTGCTTCGGCTGTCCTCGTCGGAGATCCACCAGACCCACGGTCGGATCCTGCTGAGTCGGTGCGTGAACCTGTTGGATCGGGGGACGAATGCTCTCCAGAGCAGGAACAGGTGGTGTTGGACCCCCCCGTCTACGCCGATCGCGGATCAAGTGTGTGCAGTGACGGATGACGCGAAGCCGCAAGATGATCGTGCTGGTGACCCAGAAGGGAGGCCAGATCAGTGGATCCACGTGGTAAAGCAGCTGGGAAGGGTGGAATAGTGCTCCCTCACTTGCCATCGACCGATCAGGTCGGCGGTTGTCCCGTCGAACCAGATCTTGGGGGCGGGAGTACCGATCGGACACACCCTGTGGCGGTCTTAGCTGTGGAAGAGTCGAGATCAAGTGACGATACAGCGGTCGATAGTGTTCCAGCATCTGAACGACTGTCGCAAGTGGCTGAAGACTCATCGATCGTTGGAGGTGATCCGCAGGGAATGGAGGCCAAACTCACTTCAAATCGGGGCGATCCCGTTACGTCCGAACCAGATCAAGACGTTGGCCCTGATGATTAGGTCCATTACCACGAGTGCGGGAATCTGTCAGCAGAAGATGTCGAAGGCGAATTAGCTGTACTTCCTGAAATTGTGATCTCGACGACGGATGAGGTTAAGATTGATGATGTCAAGGTGTGAGATCTGGGGTTCAACACCCCGGAGGAGATCGATCGGCTGCGAAAGAAGATCTGGCACAGGAATAATCTGCTGATCGGCAAGGGCAATGCACTTCCCCCAGCAGCCCGGGGCGTCACCTGCGACATCGACGTGGGCGACGCGAAGCTGATCGCTCAACGTGTCCGGAAAGTTGCCCATCAGTTTGTGGAGAAGGTGTCCGAGCTGATCAAGGGATTACTGTCAGCCAAGATGATTCGGAAATCTCGATCACCGTGGGCCTCGCCGATCGTCGTGATCATCAAGAAGAACGGCGTAGATATCCGACTCTGTATCGACTATCGGCTCGTCAACAGTCTAACCAGGCTGATGGTATATCCGATGTCCTTGATCAACGATCTGCTGGAAGATCTGGACAAGGTACTCTGGTATTGCTCTTTGGACATGGCTAGTGGATTCTGGGTGGTGACAATGACCGATCGAGCTCGTGCGATCTCGGCCTTTATCACCCACATGGGTCTGTTCGAGTGGAACCGGATGCCGTTCGGCCTGAAGAACGCTCCTCAGATCTATCCGCGACTTCTGGACGACGCGTTGTATGGGTTCACCAGGATCCCACGATCGTCGGACTGTGAAGTCACTACGGACTTGATCGAGTCAGGAGAACCAGAAGATGAGGGACGGCCATCAGTGCTAGGTCGCAGATCGTACATTGATGACATTCTTGTGACGAGCTGTGTGATCGCGTGGATCACCTGCTGGACGCTTGTGATAAGTGGGACCTCTCGATCAGTGTGGAGAAGAGCTCTTGGAGGATGCGTAAGGTGGACTATCTAGGACATCGTGTGTCGAACGACGGGCTAGAGGCCAATCCGAAGGATCTCACTGCTCAGATGGATCTGCCGTTCCCCGGATCGCTCAGATCGATGCAGTCGCTCTTGGGCAGTCTCAATTATTACAGCCGTTTCTTGGAAGATTACGCGATCTACGCGGCGATCCTGTACGAACTGCGCGAGGTGGACTTCGCCGAGCTGAAGAAACGCCCCGATCTGCGCCAGATCCTCGATCGTCAGGTGCCGAATTCAGTGGATACGGACCCAGTGAACCCCGATCGGACTCCACCAGTTCCTGAAGTCGGTGTTGCCGATGAACGCTGGATCCGTGCTTATCGTGCGTTTTCGACACTGAAGATGAAGATCGCGACGACACCGATCCTGCGGCACTTCGATCGCGATCGGACTCCAGTCGTGATTGTGTATGCGAGTGACTGGGCGATCTCGGCCGCATTGATGCAGGAACACGACCAGATCTGTCATCCCGTTACCTTCGTCAGTCGAACGCTGAAGTCGAATGAATTGAACTACAACGTGGTCGAGAAAGAAGTGCTGGCGCTGTTACGGATTCTGGACCTGAACTATAAGATGCTGGTTGGACGATCGATCCGGGTCTTGACCCGACACTCGACGTTGGCGTGGCTGTTCCGATCACCCGGTCTTCAAGGCCGATTGGGTCACTGGGCTGCACTCCTATCGCCCTGGACACTGGAGCTCACGAAGTGCACCAAGGGAGAGGACGAGATATTGGGGGCGATCGCCGCTAGTATTACGCCTCGATCGGATCTGGACGACGCGTTAATCGCGATCGCGCCGAAGAAAGAACCCCGGCGCAAGATTCAGGCCCCGATCCCGACGGTGCGTGCGGACGAAGAGCTGCTGGTGGTAAGTTTCGATGGATCCGCCCGCGTCAAGCGAGGCGGGGGCGCGTACAGCGCGATCTTGTGGAAGTTACCCGAATGGAGTGTGGTGAAGGCACGATCGGGCTATGCTGAAGGGCTGACTGTCAACGAAGCGGAGTATCATGGTCTGTTGTTGGGTTTCGACCTCCTTGATGGCATAGATCGAGGCAGGTTAGTGGTCTGCGGTGATTCCAACCTGGGGATCCGACAAGTACGGGGCGAGATCGACTGCAAAGCACCTAAGCTGACATTATTGAAGCAGAAGGTGCTGGATCAACTACGGAACTGGCCCGATCACGAGCTGTTACATGTGAAACGAGATTGGAACGGAAGTGCGGACAGCCTGGCCAGTGCAGCACTCCAACGTGAAGGGGGCATCGTCGTCGAGGATGAGGTCGATCATGGGGATCTAGTGACACTGAACCGACTTAATGAGATCCTGGTTATTCGATCGGATGAGTCAATCGCCCGACTATCGCCGATGACCAACCGATCGGGCGCAAGATCACGACCGAACCCGACCGTTATGCAGGAGGAGTTTGTGCGAGGGTTGCGGATCGATCGAATTCGTCGAGCTCAAGATGAAGAAACGTGGATCGCAGGTATGAAGAAGTACCTGATGGGAGATGTGGCTGATCTGACGCAGGATGAGGCTCGATCCTATGGCAACATCGCAGCGGATTACGAGATCGACGGTGATAATCTGCTGTTCTATTGCCCACCCTCCAAGCGATCGGAGGCAGATCGAGATGGACTGATGAGACTGGTTGCACCGGAGACGCTGCATCAAGATATCTTGCATCACTATCACTCCACTCTGGAAGGGGGACACCAGGGGATCGGGCGTACCTATCAGCGGATCCGCGATCACTTTCACTGGAGAGGTCTCTTCAGGAGTGTGCAGAAGTACGTCGGTGAATGTGTCGACTGTGAGGCCGGCAAAGGACAACCCACGATCAGGGGCGAGTCGCCGGGGAACATCCAGGCGACATACCCGTTCCAGATCATAGCGATGGATCACATACCTTCGCTGCCGAAGTCGTACAAGGGCAATACGGAACTGTTGATCTGGGTCGATCTGTTCACGAGATACGTGATCGCGAAGGCCAGTTCGTCCAGAACGGCGCAGACGATCGCCGAGTCTTACGAAGAGTGCGTATTCCGGCGATTTGGTGCTAGCGAGGTGATCAGGCATGATCGCGAACCGGGATTTATGGCCGACTTTTTCCGTGCCTTTAACAAGATCCTGGGTATGCGTCAGCGAGCGACGATGGCATATCGACCTCAAGCTAACGGTACTGCAGAGTGAATGGTACAGGTGGCGACGAGAGCCCTGAAGATGTTCGTGGAGGATCTGGATCAAAGAGATTGGGATGAGTACGCAGAGCGATTAACCTTCGCGATCAATACGGCTCAAGATCGAGTTCGTGGAGACTCCCCTTTTTATCTGGTGCATGGTTGGGATCCCCGATCGACGCTCGAGGCGACGATACCTTTGGGTAGTACTCAGACTCGCGATCGGAATCCTAGACGGTGGCGTTATCGGATCCAGAGACTCTACGATCGGGCTCGAAGTCAGGTGAATGCTCGCCTACTCGAGGTGATCGCGGATCGGACCGATCGACATAATGAAGAAGTTCGACCGCACTCGGTCGAGGCTGGATCTCAGGTGTGGCTGTACCTGGATCGTGTGAAAGAGGGGTATGCCCGGAAGCTGGTTCACCTGTGGCACGGCCCGTTCCGTGTTGCGGAGAAGGTGAACGAGTACACGATGAAGCTTCAGATCGCTGGTACGGACTATCACGTTTTCCCGATCGTGCATGTTTCGAAGCTGAAGTTGGTCAGGGACTTCCCCGATCGACCGCAGATCGCGCTCACGGTGGACGAAGCGGATCGACTTGATTTCGTCGAAGTCTTACTTTCGGAGGACAGCTGGACCCCAGATCGAGACTCGAACGAGTACGAAGTGGAGAAGATCACGGATACGGACGGGTCGAAGGACGCGGTACGGCCGGACTTATCGAGAATTCCTAGTACGCTGGAAGGGTTACGACGAGCCTGACTGGGTCGACGAAGCTGATCTCAACTGTGGAGCGTTATTGCACGAGTTCCTTCGAGATCGCGTGAACCGGAACCGATTTGGCGCGATGCAGTCTCACGAGGAGGAGTGAGATCGGACCGCCAGGGTGAGCTGGTCGCCTTGGTGAGCGAGATGGATGACGGATCGACGGGGAGGCCGTTGGTCGGAGGAAGGGGTTGTATATGAATGAATGTGTGTACGTCTGTGCAGATCGGATGGTTATGGAGGGAGTACAGGAAGGTATGAGGACAGATCTTGGTCGATCGAGCTAGCAACGAATGGATTGACGGGGAACAGTGGGAGATCGAGGAAGATTGTGGATTGTTACGATGGAATGGATTAATCTGAATATTTCGCGTTACGCGTATGGAAGATCGGCCTCCGAGTCACTCCGACTCTGGGATTGTAATAGTCGACTGGCTCGCTACTTACGGAAGTCGATCGCAGAGACGGCGATCACGTCATGGCTGGTACTGGGCGCCGACGTTGGGGTTGAACTTGTTGCGGAGGCGCGGGATCCGTTGAGCTGGATGGTCCTGGCGGTGATCGCGATACTGGTTCCGCCAGGGGTCATGGGTGTCGGCCTCGATCAGGGCTGTTCACAGGTCGGTCGGCTCACCTTGGTGCTGGGTGGGGTCGCCAGCATTCGCAGCGCGAGACACCGCACCGGGGTACCAGGTCACAGCGTCCCGTTGTCGCACCGGGATCTGCAAGAAGAACAGGTCCAGCATCAGATCGACGTCTGCCCACATCTTTCGCATCATGGGCAGCATCGCGTCGAAGAGCCGGCGCCACCGATCACCGAGGCGGATCCGTCGGGCTCGACGATCGCGATGGTATTGCTCAACGATCGGGTCCCGACGCTGTGCGGCCGTGATCGGGAGATAATGAGTGGTTTCCCAAAAGGCCTGGCGATGCTGATCTTCAGCAGGAAGTTCCTCATCATTACCGTGTAACGAGAAGGACGGCGAGGGAGACCGAACGGGCGACCGACTCGGAGGCGCCGATCGGGCACGCTTGTGGATGTGCCCGGTAGAGTCCGGAGATCCTGAGCGACTGCAGCTGCGACGGCCAGGCGTGATCGGCGCGCACTGACGAAGCCCGATCCACCGAGCTACGCGGGACAACGTGTCAGCCACATTCTGGAGATCCTCGCTGGATCGATCGCTGGCGTGACGCAACATAGCGTAGGCGTTCTGGACGTCGAGGAATTGGGCGTCTTGGGCCCGGATCACCTGTTGCGCACTTTCGACACACGATCCTGTAGCACAGCGACAGCATGAGCGGCGATCGGCAACGGGATAGATGGTATGGGAAGCTTACGTACGGAGATCGGCGTTCTCTCGGAGTGCAGCGTCGCGGTCTTGATGAGCTTGATCGACGTCTCTCCCGGCAGCGGTGGCTTTGTCCCTTGCGGTATCTCGGGCGGTACGCATCAGATCCAGCTCCTCATTTACCCGGTGGAGGGCAGCTTGCAGTTGATCCGGGGCGGGCGTGGGTCCAGTGGGAGGCGTCGGGTTCGGAACGGCCACAGTAGCCGCAGCCGCAACGTGACCTCGCTGGGCCACGGTCGCTTCGGCCACCTGAAGGGCAGTCTGGACCCGATCGAGGCTGCCGCGCGTAAGATCTAGCTCGTGGTTCACCTCGTCTAGTTCGCGCTCTTGTCCAGAAACCTGAGATCGGAGATCCGAAATGTCCGCCGCGGCGAGATCGAGCTGGTGGTCCAGTCGATCCCGATCGGCGTTAGCAGTCGCGAGATTGGCCTGAGCGCGTGTCAGTTGGCGATCCAGATCCTGGATCTCGGTGGCTTGCAGGGCTATCTGATCCCGGAGGCCTTGGATCAGCTGCGGACCCTGACCCTGGGCACTCTGTTGAAGGTCGCTGACTTCCGTCTGAAGGCGGCGGATTTCTTCCTCTTGCGCTCAGCGGTGGCGCTCCAAGTCGTGCAGGTTCGCAGTCAGCTCGCCCACGGTGTCGTCCTGGTGCGCCCGGTCGCGGATCATAGTCGATCGGGAAGCGTAGGCGCTTGCCAGCTCATCTTCCAAGCGGGCGATTCGGTGGACGGCATCCGGGGAGGCCGCGACACGGCGGGAGGCCGTCGATCGCGTCGATCGAGGTGTTGAATGAGTCGATCGGGGCGAGCCATGCGTCGAACTGTCGTCGTCCGGCGGACCGGACGGAGGTACAGGTGGGTTAGGCGGCGGTGTGCTCATCTGTGAGTGGTCTGTGCTTGAGCCGGCGAATTGGAGAATGACCAAGGCCGAACTGTCCGAAGTGAGCCGCCGTGCGACACAACTTGCGGCCAGGGGGCGGATATGGAGAAGTGCTGAATAAGAATTGATCTCCGAGAAAGGCGGCAGGGCCGATCGACTGGAAGTATGGGGGATCAGCGATCGAGAGACAGGCAGCGAGGGTCTATGGATCAGAGGGAGTTCTTCGGGAGATCTCAAGTGGCCCGATGACGACGGCGCGTAAGGCAGGACATGTGGCAAGCCGGATTGTGGATGATCGTGCTCGAACCGTGGCGTGATTCGGGGTCGACCCAAGCCCCGATCGACGACAGATCTCGCAGATCTAGGACGGCCGAGGACAGAAGATGATGGATCGGCGGCGCACGGCAACCGGCACCAGTCATCGATCGGGAGTTGATCGCCGATCGCCGATCGAGATCGATCGTGGATCAGGAGTCGATCGCAGATCAGGACTCGATCGTGGATCGGGGATCGACCACGATGGGATGCACATGGAGGACGAAGTCAGGACAAGAATCCAGTGGTTGTTGAGTTGTCGGATGGTAGATGAGATGGTAGCGGTAGAGAGACACTAGCTAAACATAAATCAGAGTCGAAATTGCACCGAAGAGCACAAGCCCCCTCAAGTCGTCAAGTCCCAGGAACTACATTGGCCTCGGCAAGCATCGACACTTTGGACAGTGAACTAGTGGTACGGTTAAGACTGGATTAATATATTGGCCAGCTTGACCTACTCTAGCGATCTATTTCTTGTGTGCGAACCCTCGATCGACCGGATACTGTTTGGCCGGCGATCGTTTCTTCTCTCGATCAACCTCGATCCCGCTATAGGAAGCGGCAAGCAACTCAGGAAAGGAAGGAACACACCCGGAAAGGTAACTACAGGCCGTGAATCGACTCAAGGTCGACCGATCGGAGCGAACAACCCTCGATCGGAGCGTATACTCGGACGCAGAGCGACGATTCCCGCGCTGCTCCACAACCTATCGACGCGTCACGCCAAGACATTCGATCTTCACCAAGTGCTGCATCTTCGGAGCCCCGAAAGAGCAGACCCAGCCCGCCGACGGGTACACAAGGTGAGAACAAGTTCAGCCGATCACGGATCACTGGGGGACCCCCTCCGTTAGTCGGTGTCTGGGCGCTGGTGGGAAGCTCGATCAGGCCTTAACCAGATTTTGGCCGATCCCGCTACACCACACTTGCGACCCATCGTGAACTTGGTTGGTTTGACGAAGCGCTGGGTGTCTGTTTGGCTTGAGCTGCTCGAGGTGTTTTGAGTTGTGAAGTGCCAAGGAGTCAGAGTGCCGCACGCGTGAGAGGGAGATCCCTCTACGCTCTCCACGTCGGAGGTACACAGAGCACCCGTCATGCCGGACTAGCACTTGGAGGATGCGGATGCAGGGCGGCTCCGGGCCGCCCTAGAGGGAGAATTTGATGAAGCTGCGTGCGCAGCTTCCGCAATAGCATGACCTCGTAGAACCTGGTCTTACTTGAAGTGATCTGCTTGCGGAGGTCTGGTCCGGCAGCAGTTGGCAGCCAAGAAACTCATAATTGCAAAACTATACGATCCATCGGAAAGTATTTAACCGTATTTAACGTTTTTAGTTTTCAAAGTGTATTTAACCCTACCCAAGTATTTTACTTCTTTACTCATTCTCGTGCGGCTACTTCGCCGCATGCGGCCAACTCGCCGCATGAGCGCCTATTTTTGCATGCGGCCGCATGCGACCACCTACCCCACTAACCAATCACAAGTCCTTATTTCGGTTCATGCGTCCGAATCTTGAGATGACAGATGACCAATCAAACCTTTTGAACTCAAACCTCCCGTCCTACTTTAGGATGCATCCTGCTTGTCAGAATGGCAAAAATATTTGAAAAATATTTTTTCTACTTGACTTTTGTATACACATATACATATTTAGGCCAGCCTTCCGACAAATATTTGGAACGCGTTCACCTAACCCTAACGTATTGCATTGGATAAAATATCCACACCAGGAAAAATGATTGGCTGTAATTCAGGTGGAGATCAGCCTGAAACAATCCTACTCACTTATCAGTCGGAAAGACCACTATATTCATCCATATCTGGATTGATGGCGGGCCATGACAATAGGGGGTTTCAAAGTTGGGCTGAGCCTATAGACACAAGAACATAAACAGCTTTTCAGCTAATCAGATCGCGCTGCGGTTTTGCCGTTATGTCATGTTTTACTGACGCCAAAATCGAGTCCAAACGACCTAAAGCCTATTCACTTGGAATCCGACGGCTAATCTAGCCATCTCAAAGGCTTATTCCGCCAGTAGTGCGCGCCCCGCGAAGGCGCCAACTGCGGCTGCAGCACTAGCGCCCATGGCGTCAAGCACACGCCAATGCGCGTTGGCTGCGTGAAACATGGCACGCCGCGCTGGTGCAGCCAATATTCGTCCGGCCGCTGAACTTGGTCCAAGCCTCACGGCTGGTGCTAGACTTGATGTAGAAGCTGCTGTTGCTGACCTTGACCTTCTTCTTCTTCTTTAAGTCTTGCCACGCGTACTTGCCCTCGACGCTCTCGTGCCTCCTGTTGGCCTGAATCACGGCGCCAGTGCATTTGTACTTACCCTAGACACCGTCGCTCGTCTTGTACTGTTGTGGACTTGCACTTGGCCTGGTTGCAGGTGCTCGACTTGACCTTCGTACACTTGGCGGAACTGCACAGCCGCTTCGGGGCTTATGTTTGCTTGCTGACTTGTCGAGCTCGGAAAGGGGGGTTCAAAGTAACTTTTGAAACAGCCACTGGAAATTTTCATGTCTTCAGGTCAATATGTTTGGCAAAATCCTACTTTGAAAATACCTAGATACTACGTAGTATGTGCGTAGGATAAGTTTAATGCGTTGGAGAAAGCTTACATGTTCAACTTGTATTGTATTGTTTGTTATTCTAGTCCTAATACTACGTAGTATGCGTGGAGTGAAACTACATGTGCACCTAGTATCACTACCAACCATGCGAGCAGATGCACGGCGACTGCCCTGAAGGGAGCTGCTCAGGCGGAACAACAGCAAGCTATCGTAGCGTGCTGTTGTTCCGCGTTGAGCACTACGTAGTGGGCGACATCGCTTGCAGTCCGCAAGTTGCGGTCTCTCGCTGGCGGTGGTGTCGCCCTTGCGCTTGAACTTCTTGTCCCGCAACGACAGCGAGTGGCGACAAAACTCCGAGTAGACCAAAGGTGTGGCCTCGCTGTTGCTGAGCGCCCCCACGATGCTTCGCGCAGATGCTCTTGTGCTCGGCGACCTCCTCTGTGACTTGCTTCAACTTCAGAACCTCTATATATCGCAGCGTAGCCACGTCAATATTTAGAGTTAGTACGACAAACACACCACAAAACGTGAGCCTCCACACAGGTATTCAGACGCCGCCAACAGCGTGCTCAATCGAGAGACACAGCCTGAAACAGCCCGAACTGCAGCATCAAGTATCTTTTTAGCCCTAAAATCGGCGTAGACACGTCAATACTGAGAGTTAGCAGCTCAAACAAAGCTCAAAACATGCGTCAAAACGGAGCCGTTCAGACGTACTTGTTTCCGCTGGCGACATTGCGCTGTGTCCGGTGAAGCACCCCGAAAAACAGCATTTTGCTCGTGTTATCTCTCAAACAACGATATACACATCTGTATTGAGAGTTAGTTCGCCAAACACACTGCAACATATGCGCTAAGATGAAGGCTTTCGAACGTACTTGCAACAGCCACTTGAAGTGGACTTGGTCCAGAGGGGCGGCTCAAAATTCAGCATTCAGCTCAGTTTCCCTCTAAAACAGTCACACACACGTCAAGGTATCAAAAGATGCGCCTCAATGCAGGCATTCGAGTGTACTTACATCGCTCGGCGGCGGCGCGCTCAGTCCGGAGAGGCAGCCCGCAGCGCCGCCATGCGTCGCGCGCACTTTGGGGGGATGACAACTTAGCAAAAATGGACTCGCAGGGCGTACCCTTCCCCCTTTCATTTGATTGGCCTGCTCATTATGCTAACGCTGCGGCGATTGGCTGAGGTTGCATTGTTTGTGGTTTGTGTGTGTGTCTGGTGGACTGATCCTGTTTCTTGTGGACGATTCACGCAACCGAGTGGAATGTTCACAGCTTTTGTGTGTTTGTCCCAAAGTGCGTCCTGCAACGTTAATGTTGGGAGGGGGTGAAAGGTAGCCCGCTCGGCAAGCCGAAACAACGCCTGTGGTTTAAGGTCCGTATGCGTAGCACGCGGACTTAAACCCAGGACCAAGCATAGGCACATTTCGCTCGGCCCGATAGGGTTAAGCCCTGCAGGTCTTGGGCTTAGGCAGGGCAACAGATTTCCTGCCGACACTCCATGTTTGGGATTTGTGCTCCATGACACCCGTCCTGGGCGGTCTGATTTATTTACAGTATCCGCTCGATTAAGTACGCTTTTAGTGGTTAACGTTGCAATAAGGTCGTTAACGTTGAGCTAAGGCCCTGTCGTAATTAACGTAGCATGAACGCCCTCCGTCCTCTCTCTACGGGAATGGCTCTGGTGCTGAATTGCGATCTCTCATACGTAAACCTGATTCACCGCGAATTCTTCATTCGAGATTTTACGGCGGAGCGGCGTTGCGTGCTGCTATCGAGATGGTGACTCTGTGCTGCGCCATCGTTCGCGTCCCGGGAAGCGCGTTCCCTGTGGATATCGACGAGAACAAGTTGGTGGGTCACCTGAAGGATGAGATCAAGAAGATGAACCCAGCGACGGTCATTTGCGACGCCAATGTTCTGGAGGTCTTCCTAGCGAGGCGACACGATGGCGAGTGGATGCGAGAAGACGACGCAGCTGTCCCCGATTTGGAGGCTGGAAGAATTCATCCGAATGTCCAGAACATGCTCAATGTTGGAAATCTGAGATCGACGACGGCAATTGGCGGGTGCTTGGAGAAAACAATATGATTCGGGGGGGCGCTCCACGTTCGACGCAGATTCACATACTAGTGAAACTTCCACGGGCGAACGGGGCATGGAACGAGGCAACGTTGTCCACTCTTCATCGTAATGTTCGGTCCAGCATGTGGTCGTCAGTCCTCAGGATTTCTTCGGCATTTGTCTTTTCAGCAACAGCGTTGGTCGTGGCTCGAACGAAGGACCGTGTGTACTTGCTGACCAATTTGCACGTCTGGATTGATGATGATGACACGTTCTTGGAGTACCTGAGCCCTGACTTCCAGAATCAAATCAAGCGTTACATCAAAGCCAACCCCAAGAAGAAGCAAACGAAGCAGACAAGTGCAGCAAGAACGAGGAGTGCTGATGATGCACTAGGGACACGTAAATCTCCACGGGCTATCAAGCAAGCTAAGCGGTCGACAGATCTTCTTCAAGTCGTGGTGGATCGGCTACTTCCTGATGCGACCGCGTTTGTCGAGGTCCACGCGTTTTCTCTCATCAGTGATGTCTGCTGGCGTAGTTCAGCTGATTGCGACTTCGCTATCTTCGAACTTCCATTGACACCTATGTATTGAGGGTTGCTGGTCTTGGGTACTGTGTACCAGTTGTACCCATTAACCGGTTAACCCGAACCGGTCCAATCCGAACCCACGTTGATAATGGTGATTACGGTAAGTTGTTTACGCCACCGATGATTAGACGAGTAGGATGATTGGATGAACACCGGTGAGTGATGGTTGATTAGATGCACTAGGTGATAGGACGCAGGGCCGCGTGTCTATAACAGTAGGGTGTAAGCTCCAACAATTCAATCACTTTCGAATCTTCATTCTACCCCTCAAGTGCCTTCGCTCCGGTCCCACCGTCTGCGACGTCCCTCCCTCCGCTTCGTCCGAGCTTCGTGTCCAAGATCCACACCTTCCATCACTATGCTCCAGCAGCTCGCTCCATGTGGAATGTCTCTTGAGCTACATCCCACAATGAAAGTTCACGTGTTTGGATTTCCTGGTGTTTTGCAAGCACAAGGGTTTGATCACTCCTACGCCATCATTCCCGCTGAGATCACTGGTTGGAGCAGAAACAAAATGACGCTGTCATCATTGTCAGCACCTGGTCTATCCCGGGGTGCTATTGTGTGCACCTAGAGGGGGGTTCCAGTTGGATTCGTTGGTGGTGGGCTCGATGGATCAAACGAAAACGAGCAATATCAGTCGTACGGCTTCACATTTCATACCCTCCCCCCGATTTGCCTTCGGCGTTGAGCTCCGATGCTGAAGAGGGGGGGGGGGGGCTATGACGGCTAGGACTGATCAAGTCATTTGAAGACCCACATTACGCGGAAGTAAGGAGTAAATCTCCACTAGGACACCCGCCATCTTGTTGACTCTTTACCGAGGTGCCAACAGCCGAGGCTCGTGAAGTGGATAATGATCTTATGTTGGTCCAACAAGGTCGCGGCGATCCTCAGGCGTCGGCTGTGACTTCGATCTTCTTGTGGAGCTCGCGCTTCTTTTTTTTGCTCTGTCTCTTCCAGCTGCTGCTTCAGCTTGTAGTTGGCGCGCTCTCGTCTGGCGCTTCAGGCTGCAGATGCGCAACCTCGTCACCTAGAACATCGGCTTGCTGCCGCAGGCGTTCTCCTGATCGAGCACCGCACACTTGTCCTCAGCAGCGCGAGATCGCGGGTGGCTTCCTACTCCTCGTTGGGCGATGCCATAGAGGTGTTTTGTACTTCAAGTAGTAAGCTGACAAGCGTAGCAGTGAAACCCCCATTTTTCGCGAGAAGAAGTGAGTCACGTTTTCAAGCCCAACTCGACACCACAACAGACCACGGGCTTGCCTGGCCAGCAGTAGGCAGCTTACCACGTACTAGTGTTTTTTTAGTTTAAGAGGGCGGCGTTCAGCTAGCTTGCATGTAGGCCAACTAGCTGGCCGACTTTAAGATCCACCACACCACTCCCGGGGCTGCCTCGCACGGATTCAATGTGAACCCGCTGCGAGGCATGCCTTCGGTGATCTAAGGACGTTGCCTTTTCCCCCAAACGTGTAGTTTGAAAAATATGGTTTGCCTTTTGAATTCCTCAAAGTAGCGCTTACGTAAGCGTTGACTGAGCCGTCCTTTATCCCCAGCATTTTCTTGTTTCTTGACGTACGCGTCCGTGCGTGCATTGGCCCAGATCTCGACGTAAATCTTCTTCTCCATCGTGGTCTGAGGGTAGAAGGGCGGGAACGAGAACTCGCTGCCTTCCGGTTTGCTCGAAAAGCCGGGGCTCCATGGGGTGTAGCTGTACGCGCTTCCTTCGCCTTTGACGACCTTGTCGTCGTACTTGGTAGCGTAGCGCAGGTAGGTCTGGTACTTGTCGCTTAGCTGGGGGCGCACCAAGTTGTTGAGCCCGAACTCCTGGAAGACTACGCGCGGAGACTTCTTGTTGCTCAGCCAGAGATTCAACTTTTCCTTTTCAACCTCGCGCAGATAGTCCTGGTACCAGACGAAGTTGGGATGAGCCTTCAGAGCCCCTCCCTTGAGCTTCGAAAGGCCTAGCTTCGCCTTCACCTCGACGTCAGAGTATTCCATAGTGGTCCACCACTTGGTCTTCGCCCACAGCTTTACTGCTTCCAGAAAGGCCTCTCTTCACTACCAGCCAGGCTCGATGCGGACTTGTCAACGCCCCTAAACTTGTTCTGGCTGGACTCTGCAGTTGAAATGTTGATAACCAGCAAGATGAAAACGAGGAAGCGGAAGAAGCGGCGCATGATCGAGTACCAACTTGGTACTCGATCATGCGCCGTGGTACTACCAAGAGATGTTCTGCAGGTAGGTAGTATCGAGACTTAGGGGCTAGCGGGTGAATTGACGACTGATAACAAGTTGATGAACAACCAGTGGAGGCAGATCCCATGATGCGAAAGCCGGCTCATTCGGAGTGATTCGTCTTAGCATCAATACGTGTAAGCTCGGCAGTGACAACAGCATTACACGCAGGACTTTAGCTGCGTTGTTGTGCTAGTATACGTCTCTGGTTCAGCAACACAACGCTCTTTTACTTCTACGCTTCTTCATTGCCTATAAGCAGACACGAAGTCAACGCAGCGTATCCATCCATTCTTCATACTGAACCACGTCTAACCAGCAAACTAACAACTTTCATTGATACTTTAAACATGAACATCTTCGATCGTCTCCTCCGTTACACAAGATAGTTGGCTGGGCAGGAGAGCGGGTCCCAGTCGTCAACTTGCTGCATCGTCGGCGTCGGTCGGATGAAGCGCCTGGTGAACTTTTGAGTGCCAGCAGGACCCGCAGCATCAAACGCGATCTGCGCATTGGTCGTCGCAAGGGCGAACGCTACGAGCGCGCAGTGGTAGGAGACTCCGTGGCGCCAATTCAGCGCGAGCTCGTCCAGGTAGTCGCGGTCGATGTACGTGCTGCTGTAATACCACCACGCCACCGTCACGAGGAAGCCGAGCATGGCGCACGTGAAGCTCGCGAACGCGTGGCACCCCCTGAAGCTCCTCGGGAGAAACATGGCCGACATGCCGAGACTCGCCGTCGCGAAGAAGCCCCAGAGCGCCATGGCGTACTTGACAGTCTCGAGCACCACAAGACACGCCACGTTCTGGGCGCCCTGCATGTACCACGTGAGCTCCCCACGCGTGTGGCACCAGCAGGACAGCGCCTGAGTGGCCACCAAGTCTTCGTTGTTGACGTCGTGGCTTTCTAGACGAGTCGGAAGCACGGCGAGCGGGTCGGGGGCTGCACTCGGCCAGTCGTCGGGCTGTCGCGAGCTCTCGAGGATGGCGTGCAGGAAGGGCTGGCACTCGGAGCTGCCGTTGACGAGGCGCAGGCAGTAGCCGTCCGGCGCGAACGTGAGCTGCTGTGCGGCGTTATCATTGCTGCTGGACGGCGAGTCGATCAGATTGAGCTCGATGACGGCCCACGAGTGGAGGTGCACTGCAACGATGACCAGCACCAGAACTGCGACTTGCAACACGACCTGGAGGATCTGCAAGCTCTGTAGCATGGTCGATTGAGCACGAGCTGAGGTGAGTGATGGAGCGTTGATCGAGCTATGGCACCGTCAGGTTGGTGAACAGCGAACAGAGCCATCTCCCGCATGCATGCGCGTCAAGTCGCCGAGGACGTTATCGATCAAAAAGGCTACATCTGGTTGCAGCTCTTCCGTCTGCCGCCTCGTACCATGCTGTCGAAGTGCCCCGGATATGGCGAGGAGGTGTCAACCACGACCAAGCCAATCTGCCCAAGTAGCGATGCTACCGGTGACAAGAAGCTTGTCAGCCAAAGTCGCTTCTTCATAGGTCATGTTGAAGTTGGCCCCAGTATCCTCTTAGCCGGGATGCTGCCCCCCCACTTCCGAACCCTCTGCGAACCCCTCAAGCCACACCCAAGACGCAGCAGCATGGCAACGGTGTCCGCTTCGATGTCGTCTTTCAGCTGCGACTTCTCCTGCTTGGCCATCTTCGACCCTGTCTGCGCCTCGAATGGCGAGACCTTCAGCAACGCGTGCGAGTTCAACCAGACTCGGTGCTCTTCTGGCAACGCCACGCTCGAGATCGTGGCGCAGGGAGCGTGCTCCAGTGCAAGCGCCAGTGGCAGTAGAAGTGGAAGTGGAAGCGGGGCCAGTTGCCTTCAGGAGTTCGCGTGTCTGGACGTGTACACGCCCGTGTGCGGCTCCGACGGACAGACGTACAGCAACGAGTGTTTCCTGAGACGAGCTCAGTGCTCCGACCCGACGTTGATCATGACGTCGAGCGGCGAGTGCGCGACCACCAGCAGCAGCAGCAGCTCAGCAAGTGGCGGCAGTGCCGGGGCTGTGAGTTGCGTCGAAAGCGTCTGCACGAAGGAGTTCCTCCCTCAGTGCGGATCGGACGGCGTCACGTACAGCAACAAGTGTCTCCTTCAGAATGCCCAGTGCATTAACGTTTCGCTCGCGCTCGCGTTTGAAGGGGAATGCACCACTGCGATCGGGTCGTCAGCGTCGATATCGGGGCCGGGGCCTGCAGTCGGGTCAGAGTCGGCTATTGGCTCGGGCTCTGCTTCATCTCCGGAGACGAACGCCGCGAGCTCCAGACGGAAGTACACCACGTTGGCTACGATAGTGTCGACACTTCTTTCACTTCTAGCGTTGTAGTGGTGAAATCTACTGAATGATGTCGTCTTTGACGCGCTCGACATCCATAGGAATTCATAGCTTAATTGATCACCTTCGCTTCACTCGACGTTGCTCTCGCAGTTGCGACCGTTCAACGCCTTTGCGGCTTGAGCACTACGATCAAAACCGCCACTTGCGAACTCGAATGGCGTCCCGTAAGCCTCGCAAGGGCTCGGCCTGGGCTCCAGACTCGACCGAGTCGCTCTTCGACGACGGTATCTGCGACGACGACAGTCGAGAGCGATGGAAGCGAGCCCTTGAGGCGCAGGAAGAAGAGCAGGCGCTGCTGCACCGCACCGTGGTGGCCTCCAAGCGACAGAACCTCGAGCTGCAGTACGAGCGGGTGCGTGGCAGTCCGACTATTGCATGTGCGTGACAACCCCAAAGGCTTAACCTGAACGCCAAAATGTTGCCAGGTAGCCAAGCAGCGAGCCTTCATCCGACGTGAGAAGCGCAAGCTGTTGCTGCAGCACGCGCTGCTCGCCTCCGAGCGCGAGCGCTTCGACGCTTCTCGATCGTCCGACTGGTTCTGTCTGGCCGCGTTCCTCGCAGCTAGCGATCGCCGCGTGACTGTGGACGTCGGTGGGCAGCTCTTCGAGCTGTCGGCTGCTGTGGCCTCGAAAGACCCAGCGTCGCTGCTCGCCGCCTTCGTTCAGGACGATTCCCCGCTCACTGCAGCTGAAAGCGGCTGCTTCCGAGTCGATCGGGACTGGAGACTGTTCCGCCACATCCTGCGGTTCCTGCGTGACGGCGTCTTGCCCTCGGACCCGAAGCTGCTGCGAGCGCTCTACATCGAGAGCGAGTTCTGGCGCTTCGAGTCGCTTTTAAAGGCTATCGAGGCCAAGAACCTGGAGCTGTGGAAGTCCAAGCAAAGCAGCGACGCCGGCGCCAAGGAGAAGGAGACCAAGGACCCGGGTGCGTGGTGGCTGGATCCGCCGTCGTGGTGGGGCACAGCCTCTGCGGGTGGTGGCAGCAGCAAGACCAAGGAGAAGATGATCAAGGCGACTTTGTTGGCGTCGTTCCAGAAGAGGAAGAGCTCCAAGAACGCCGCCAATAAGGCGAAGAAGAGCTCCCAGGACGACGACGACGAAGCGGAGTCGTGGTGGAAGGACTCGAAGTACAAAGGCACCGATTACATGGACATTCTCGCGAAGGATAAGGCTAAAGCTGGTGTTGACGGTGACGCCCGCACCCCGCGCAGCCCTCTAGTCACGAACCACACCTGGTCGGCTTCGATGACGCCCAGGAAGTAGCAAAATACACGCTCTAATCATCACTCTAGGCCTTGTAGGACAGGAACTCGAGCGCGAGCGCCTCGAAGTGGGAGAATGGGCAGAGCGGGTCCTGCGTGTGGCCCGCGAACGTCACCTCCTCATCCTCGTACCGCGGCTTGATGAAGAACTCGTGCGTTGCCTTGTCCTCGTACACTTCGAACGCCACCATGGTGCCGTACTCGGGCAGCTGCGGGCCCACGTCGATCTGCAGAGCTCCCAGCAGCGCCACAATCGAATTGTCGTGCGCCGAGAAGAAGGACAGCTTGGCCGGCTGCGCGTTCTCCACCACGGACTTGACGAAGCTGTAGACCTCCTTCACTCCGTCCTTGAACGCGCCGTGGCAGAAGCTCTTGCGCTGGTACAGACGCTGCCAGAGCCACGTGTCGTACGCCTCGACCTGCTCGAAGATCTTGTGGTCGACGCCGTCGGGGAACGGCCAGCCGTGCGCCTCTCGGCACGTGAGCGCGTCGCGGACCGCCGTCCAGGACAGCGGCTGGTCGTCGGGCACGCCGAGACAGTCGCGCAGGTGCAGGCCGAGCTTCTCCATCGCGTCCCGCTCGATCTTGCTCCGGAGCCTGAGCACGTCGTCGTGCACGATGAGCTCGATCTCGTTGAACACCTGCAGCGGGTGCATGGGCGCCAGCACGTTGCGCGTGTACGTGCGCACCAAGAACTGCGGGGCCTTGCTGCTCTGCTCAACCTGCTCGTCGTCGTCGTAGAAGAAGCCTCGCAGCAGACACTGCACGGACTCGATGGTGCGCGGCACGCTGCTGGACAGCACGTAGACGTCTTTGGCCTTGACGGCGCCGTCCAGGAGCTGCCCGTAGCGCTCCCGCAGCGCCCGTCCTTTGCCTGTCATGTGCTTGACGCCCTTCTGCGTGAGCAGGCCGTAGGGGAACTGGGCCTCCTTGGAGGGCCTGATCACGGGCGGCTGCGTCTCGTCGGCGCCTACGGGCTTGGCAGTCTGCAGCAGCAGCTCGAGCTGCTCGGCGATGGCCACCTTGGAGGCCCAGAAGTCCTTCTCGTCCTGCGTGGCCTGCACCTTGGTGCCGATGGACGTGAGCACGGGCGTGCGGTCTCCGTGGCGGTGGAAGATGAGCACGTGGCGCAGCGTCAAGTCGCGACTACCGGCAGTTGAAGAGGATGTAGTCATTATCAGAGGACTTTCGGTGGACGCTTGTGGATCTGCTGGAAAATTGCGAAGTGGTTGAAAGTGACGTCTGCGCTGCTGGACGGAGACCATCACGCACTTGAATCTTCGTTTACTACTTTAGGTGATACACACCATTTACTGGCCGAATCAGATACGAGATGACGTAATGCGTGTCACGGACGAGGACACTGGAGGACACTATTGGTGGACGGATGCTTGTAAAGCTGAAAGCGCGGCGCCCTGTAGGAAGCTCTGCGCCGCCTGCTGGAACACGGCGAACGGACACAGCGCCGAGGGCTCGTGGCCCGCGAAGGCCGCCTCGACGCCCTCGAACAGCGCCCGGAGGAAGACCTCGCCCGTGACGCGGTGCCGGAAGAGCTCGAAGGTCAGCATGGCGCCGTACGGAGGGATCACGCGCGGAACCTGCAGCTGCAGCGCGTTCACGAGCGCCACGAGCGAGTTGTCGTGCGCCGAGAACAGCGACAGCTTGTGCTTGCTCTGACCCTGCAAACATCAAGGGGCGGTGAGCATTGAACAGTACACTCACTACCGAAGCGGGGACGACCGACAGGAGCACTCACCTCGGCGACACTGGTCAGGTACGCGTAGATGCGCTGCACGCCGGCGCGGAAGCTGGCGCGGCAGAAGTCCATGTTGCCGTACAGGTGGTGCCACAGCCACGCGTCGTACTCGCAGATCTGGGCGAAGAGCTGCTGGTCGAGTCCCACCGGGAACTCCAACCCGTGCGCCTCGCGGCAGATGAGCACCTCTCGCACTGCACACAAGCATCACAAAAGTCAACCACCAAGTGCGCTTCAATCCGAACTTCCAACGGCAGACTTACAGCCAGTCCAGGAGACGAGCTTGGAGGACCCCGCTCCAATGATGCTGCTGATCCTCTGCGAGGCCTCGGCGAAACCCGGGGGCGCGTGCTGCCGCAGCTCGTCCGCCAGCATCTTGCCCAGATCCCGGTACAGCTCGTACGAATGCTGCGGCGCGAGGCTGTTGGAGTCGTCCGCGTGGATGACGAGCAGGTCGTCGTTCTTGCTCCTCTTGTCTTTCTGAATGTGACTCAAGAACCTCCTGCTGTCCGGCAGCAAGCTCTCATTGGCGCCCATCTGGTTGCCTGCGTCCACGTTGACAAAGTGCTCGGGAAAGAGCCCCGCGAGGACACTCTGAGCCGAGCGAATGGTCCTCCGGATGTTGGTGGACTGCACGTGCACGTGGCGGACAGGGTCCGCGTCCTCCAGCAGCGGCTTGTAGCGCTCGCGTAGCTGCTGGCCCTTGTCGCGCATCATGGCGATGCCCTTGGCCGTCAGTTGGCCGCAGGGCCAGCGTCCACCCTGCTGGGGCGGCGGCGGCACGTCGACCTGCGGGCCGGCGCAGCGCTCGCCGCAGTCTCCAGCGTGGTGGCTGGTTACGCGCGTGCCGCTGTTGAGCGCGCCCACGACGCTGAGCGCGCCCAGGCGCGAGACCCAGAAGTCCGTCTCGCGCTGCGTCATGGCCACCTTGGAGCTGACCTTGCGGCTGATCGGGGACCGGTCGCCGTGCCGGAACATCACGAACACGTGCTCCAGCGCCAGTTCCTTCTCATCCACGCTCGTGTAGCCAGCTGCAGCGCCCAGAGAGCTCGGGCCGCCGTCCGCCGCAGGAGACTCCGGTCGCGGAGCCATCTCTGCGCGAAGAGCTACGGAAAGTTGATACGCAAGCCGAGGGCAGTTCAACGTCGGCCGTGATTGGTCCACAGATTGGTACTTTTTAAGTTCAATCGAGCGCCATTCATTGGCTCAAATTCTTGACACATAGCTCCAGTCTCTCACCAGCGATACATACATGATGCTGAGCAGCTCCGCTCGCCGAGGCGTGCTGCGGCGCCTGCTGCAGCGCAGGCTGTCGAGCTCCGCGGCGCCGCGCACTGCGGCCGCACCCTCCCAAGACGTCCATCTAGCTCTGGAGAGCTTCATCGCTCGCCGCGAGTCGTCGCGCGCGCTGGACGCCTTCGACAAACTGCAGCCGGCCCAGCAGAGCGACCCCGAGCTGTTGCAGCGACTGGCGCTGCTCGTAGCCAAGCGCGGGCAGCCGCACGAGGCCCCGCGCGCGGCGCAGATGCTGTGCGGCCTGCTGACGCAGCCGGAGGTCGCGGTGGACGACTCCACGCAGCTGGCGGCCATCTACACGCTGGACGCGTGTCTGCGGCAGCAGCGGCTGGAGGACGCGCTGTTGCTGTTCAAAGCGACGCGCGAGCGGGACGTCCTCGTGGACCTTCCGGCGGTGGACGCGCTGCTGCGCGCGCTGGTGGGCGCTCACCGCGTGGACGAGGCCGTGGAGATACTGAAGAGCACCACGTCGCAGCACGACGTGCGCCCCACAGAGCAGACCTTCCAGCCCGTGCTGGTGGCCATCATGCAGCAGCAGCGCTACGAGGACGTGACAGCGCTCATCGAGCACGGACGCGTCAACGAGGTGGACTTCTCTCCAGAGGTGAGACGGGTACAATACTATTAAGTGGACAGGTGTGGAGGACAGATGACTGACTCGCTTGACTGCTGTCGATGTGGACACCCAGACGTACGACCCGCTGGTGGACCTGTCACAACAGCAGTATTCGGCGGAGAACGTCGAGCGGCTGGGCACGTTCATGGCATATGTGAACGACGCTCTGAAGGAGGACGGGGTGAGTACCGTAGCTGCCTCCTGGCTGAATCTGAAGGAAGTGGTTGATGCGGTGCACTGACAAGTGTGCAAATATGAATTACGGTATTGTGGTCTTAGTACTGGGAAGACGACGAAGACGACGACGATGACGATGAGGACAGAGTGATATTTGAGGAGGACGACGATGACGATGACGAGTTCGATGACGACGACTTTGACGACGACGAGTTCGACTAGGAGGTGGCGCAGCACCAGGTATGCGCTACGGCACGACTAATAGATGAATGGCGTTAGGGCCTCTGTACCGCTCATGCGTCCCGTGTCTCGGTTATAGATATTATGACTGCTCTGCTCTACTTTACAAGGAGTACTCGTGCTCGTCGGTGCTCTTGCCCTGCAGCTCCTGGATGAGCTGCTCTGCCGTCGGACGGCTCGACGGATCCTGTGCCAAGCACGCCGAGCCAACGCGGAGGATCCGAGGAGGACAATCTTTGGTGAAGGTTGGACGCAGAGTGCCGCACACGACGTCTTGCAGGATCTGGACGGGCTTCGCTTTGCCTCCTCCCTCGGTCAGCGCGTCGTGGTACGGAATCCTGCCCGTGTCCAGCTCCGACAACACCACGCCGAACGAATAAATATCTGCCTGCTCCGTGTACCGCTTGCCCTCGAGGATTTCAGGCGCGGTCCAGTACGGCGTGCCGACACCTGCCGTCATAGTGAGCTCCACAGTCCCGCGACTCACGCCAAAGTCGATGAGCTTGGGCTCAAGCCTGTCGGTCAGCAAGATATTATTTGACTTGAGATCGCGATGGATCAAGGCCGGCGTGTGTCCGTGAAGATATTCGAGCGCTTTCGCGATCCCGACGGCCATGTGGACTTTATCACGCGCCCACGACAAGAGGTCTGCGTTCTTCTGGAGATACGTCTGCAAGCTGCCCATGGGAACGTACTCGAGCACCAGCAGCAGATTGTTGAGCGTGTTCCAGGCCACGCCGACGAATCCGACGATATTCGGGTGGTCAAGACTGGCGGTGAGCTCGACCTCTTCGGCGAACTCGAGGACGTTCTCTGCCTTTTGGTTCTTGGTCTGAAGCAGTCTCTTGACTGCGACCTGCTGGCCGTCGTGCTCGCAGACCCAGACTTCGCCCGAGGACCCCTTTGACAGTGCAGATTGGAACGTGATGTTCTCATACTGAAGACGTCTCTCCACCAGGTGCTGGCTGCTGAGCAGGATCTTCAACGTCTTGCAGGACCCGGGGCTCTCATAGGCTTCCGCGAGGCTGGAAAAGGACGACCCCAGCGTGGTGAGTCGGCTAGTCAAGGTTGTCGCGCGATGCTTGGCGGGTGTACTGGCGGTGACTGTGGGTCGAGGCACGGAGTTTTCAGCTCGATACTGCGGGGATACCCCCACCAGGTCGCACGTGGTGGACATGGTCTCCTCCTCGATCTTGACCTTGGCTCTGCGTCTCCAGCAAAACCAGGCAACGCTCGCCCCTGCGATCACGACGACGGCGCCCAAGATGATCGGAATCAGCAGCAAAGTGTTGAAGCCTGAGCTCTCGCCGAACTCCTCTTTCAACCACGTCGTGACCCACGCGCTCCCCGTGGGTTTCGTCATCGCCTCCATCTCCGCGTCCGTGAACTCATCCCTTCTATGGCAAGGCACCGTCAACGCCGCGTAGCCGTCGTCTGCAGGACACACGTTCCAGGCCGGATCGTCGGCGTTCGAGACGGTGTGGATAGCGTACACGCTGTAGGAATCCTTGGTGACGGGGTCCTTCCACGCGTGGTTGCGAAGTCGAAGCTGTGGTGTCGCGTTGGGGCCGCCGCCTACGGACCACATGGATCCCATGTAGCTGGTCGCAGCGGAGTCCTCGAACGTGTCCGCGACGCACCTCGACACGTTCAGCATCTGGTCGCCCGAGCAGATCAACGTGTAGTACGCGGTCACGTCGTTCGGCTGCGAGCAGTTCTTGAACGTGCAGCCCTGGCCGCTGACTTGCGCCTTGGGCACGGCCAGCTCCGCCATGGTGTAGTCGTCCATGGTCCAGATCTGCACGGGGTCGTTGTCGGGCGAGATGGCGAAGCCCGAGTCCCACAGCACGGCACGCTGGACAAGTCCAGGCAGGTCGTCGAAGGCGATGTTGAATCGGTTAAGGCGTTGAGTTACCGCAGCGGGGACGGAGTTGAGCGAAAGTTTGGCGTCAGTGTCGCCCGCTTTGTGGCGGATGTAGAGCTGCTGGGCGATGTCGGAGTTGGTGCCGTCGAAGACGAAGGACGTGCTGGACGGCAGCGAGGACGACGCCAGACTCCGCAGGCTTAGCGTGTGTCCGTGGGCCATACTCGAGGCGATCACGAGGGGAACCGCGAGCGCAGCCACTCGCATCGCTGCGTGTTTGGAGATTCTACACTGCTCTACTCAAGCACTGGAATGGCAATGCCGACCGTCATGGCGCCGCTCACAATCGGCTGGTCGCGTAGCAGAGCTCCTGCAATGGATTTGCATAGAGTCGGAGCTCTCGCCATCAAAGACTTGTCAACTCCACTTGCGTTGAGGCCCTGCTTTCGCTTCAAAGAGCCTTGGAATGGGGCAGTGTAAGTCACGGCCAAGTCACCAAATGGACGGGTGAGTGCAGGAAGTGCGGACCGTCTCGAACTGCAAAGGCCGAGGCGCTTGAAGCGCCTCACAAACTCCTAAAGAGCTTAAAATGCCTGCTTGGTCACGCCACCAGCACAACACAACCCCAGTGTCGGGCACGGCTCGATGCTTTCAGCGAAGCGGAGACTGTCAAGGTTTCTCTAAGGCCGAGCAGATGTGCAGACCATATTGTCTGCAGCTTACGCTTGGCGCTAACAACTGCGCAGGAATTTCATTCGGCGCGTCTGCAGATGCTGAGCGTACACACCTTTCGCGTCGCTACGGACTTCGTTCACACCGAACTCAACGAACGCGCTGGTCAAGTTTGAGAGGCACTTTACATTCTTTGGATTTGTGGCTGGTATTTTTCTATGGGCTCGCTGCGTCGGACGCTCGGTCGCCGCAGAGTTCCTGCACCAATTGCCGTGCGGCCGGCCTCCTCGACGGATCGTGCTCCAAGCAGGCCGAGCCGATGCGCTGGATCCTCGGAGGGCAGTCCTTGCTGAAGCTCAGTTGGATCGTGCCAGCCAGCACGTGCTGCAGGACCTGCACCGCCTTCAGCTTGGTCCCGCCTGTCGTCACGGCGTCGGTGTACGGCACTCTGCCCGTGTCCAGCTCGGACAGCACCACGCCGAACGAATAAATATCTGCCTGCTCCGTGTACCGCCTGCCCTCGAGGATCTCGGGCGCCGTCCAGTAGGGCGTGCCGATTCCTGCGGTCATTGTCAAGTCCACAGTCCCGCGACTCACGCCAAAGTCGATGAGCTTGGGCTCGAGCCTGTCGGTGAGCAGAATGTTGTTGGACTTGACGTCGCGATGGATCAAGGGTGGGCTGTGGCCGTGCAGGTACTCGAGTGCTCGAGCTACGCCTACAGCCATGTGGATCTTGTCGCGCGCCCACGATAACAAGTCGGCGTTCTTCTTGAGATACTTGCGCAGACTCCCCATGGGCAGGTACTCGATGACCATCACGAGGTTGTTGAGGCTGTTCCAGGCCACGCCGACGAACTCGACGATATTTGGGTGGACGAGGCTGGCGCTGAGCTCGATCTCCTCGGCGAAGGACTGCACGTGCTTGGCCTTCTGGTTCTTGCCCAGCAGCTTCTTGCCCGCCACGGTGCGTCCGTTGTACTGGCAGATCCAGACCTCGCCCGACGCCCCCTTCGACAGTGCAGTCTCGAATGTCAAGCTGTCGTACGGGATCCGCTTGCCCATTAGATGCGTGCTGTCCAGCAAGATCTGGAGCGTAGTGTTGGACCCGGCACTGGCACTGCCGGGGGACCGACACGAGCCCGAAGACTCGATGGTCGAGATTTGGTGGGCCAGCGCCAGCACGGGCGTGCCTCCGTCAAAGTAGTTCAGTCCACCGTCTTCCAGGTCGGATCTCCCCTTGCAGGGCTTCTTCTCCTTCTTCTTGCACCAACAAAACCAACCGACGGCACCGGCAGCGACCACCGCCACAGCGCCTAAGATAATGGGGATCAGCAGCAACAGATCGAACCCTCCTCCTCCACCTGAGCCGTCCCCAAACTCCTCCTCTAGCCACGTCGTGACCCACGCGCTTCCCGTGGGTTTCGTCATCGCCTCCATCTCCGCGTCCGTGAACTCGTCTCTCCTGTGGCAGGGCACCGTCAACGCCGCGAAGCCGTCGTCTGCAGGACACACGTTCCAGGCCGGATCGTCGGCGTTCGAGACGGTGTGGATAGCGTACACGCTGTAGGAGGCATTGGATACCGGGTCCTCCCACGCGTGGTTCCGTAGTCGAAGCTGAGGGAGGATGTCCGAGCTTCCGCCCACCGACCACATGGACCCCAAGTAGCTGGTCGCAGCGGAGTCCTCGAAGGTGTCCGCAACGCACCTCGACACGTTCAGCATCTGGTCGCCCGAGCAGATCAACGTGTAGTACGCGGTCACGTCGTTCGGCTGCGAGCAGTTCTTGAACGTGCAGCCCTGGCCGCTGACTTGCGCCTTGGGCACGGCCAGCTCCGCCATAGTGTAGTCGTCCATGGTCCAGATCTGCACGGGGTCGTTGTCGGGCGAGATGGCGAAGCCCGAGTCCCACAGCACGGCACGCTGGACGAGGCCCGGCAGGTCGTCGAAGGTGACGTCGAGGGGGTCCAGCCGCTCGCTCACGGCTGCAGGCACCGAGGTCAGCGAGAGTTTGTCGTCGGTGTCGCCTGCTTTGTGGCGGATGTAGAGCTGCTGGGCGATGTCCGAGGTGGTGCCGTCGAAGACGAAGGACGAGTTCGAAGGCAGCGAGGAAGAGGACGACGCCGATGTCGCCTCGAGTCCTCGCGACTGGGCCATGGCCGAGGTGACTCCAAGACCGGCCGCGCCTGCAGCGGCAAAGCGCATTGCTGTGACCGGGCGATTCGAGGAATGTCGAGGGTCATGAGGCGTGACACCACTGACGTTCAATGGCGATTTGCTGACGCATCGAGGTGACCGAAACGAGTCAACGAGCCAACGTTGGCAGGCTCCGAGCACATCGCGAGCGGACATTGCTGCCGAGAACACCACTGCCACGACATCGCCTGCTGCTTCCGACGAAGACCCGAGAGCTACATGGAGCTTCAAGAGTGACCGTGATCACCACGTACAAATGCACGAAAGTCGCAAAGTGTGGGATTGATGTCTTAGGTTACAGCTCATGGATGGGGCCGATGCGGGAAGGCGAGGGCCCCTTTGCCTTGAGACGCGGCTGTACACCACACGCTCGATGGATGCAGCTCGGGGGCTCCACAACTTACATGATCCTAATCTCTACTTGTATTAGCCTTCAAGTGCTTGCTGCACTGTTAGAACGAGTACACGAGTTCAGTCGAGTCGCCTTCGAGCTGCTCGATCAACTGGGAGGCGGTCGGCCGGCTTGAAGGCTCAAAGGCGAGGCACGCCAAGCCGATCCGTTGTATCCGCGGCGGACAGTCTCTGGAGAAGCTTGGCCGCAATTTGCCGGCCATGACGTCCTGCAGCACTTGGAAGGGCTTGGCCTTGCCCCCTCCTTCCGTCACCGCGTCGTGGTAGGGGATTCTGCCCGTGTCCAGCTCGGACAGCACCACGCCGAACGAGTAGATGTCGGCCTGCTCCGTGTACCGCTTGCCCTCGAGGATCTCGGGCGCCGTCCAGTAGGGCGTCCCCACCCCCGCCGTCATGGTCAAGTCCACGAGTCCTCGACTCACGCCGAAGTCGATGAGCTTGGGCTCGAGCCTGTCGGTCAGCAGGATGTTGTTGGACTTGAGGTCTCGGTGGATGATCGAGGGCGGCCGACTGTGCAGATACTGCAGCGCTTGGGCGATGGCGACGGCCATCTGAACGCGGTCGCGCGCCCACGACAGCAGGTCGATGTTCTTGTGCAGGTAGTCCTGTAGGTTGCCCCTCGGGAAGAACTCCATGACCATTGCGAGGTTGCTGAGGCTGTTCCACGCCACGCCGACGAACTCGACGATGTGCGGGTGAACGAGGCTGGAGCTGAGCTCGATCTCCTCGGCGAACGCCTGGACGCTCTCCGCCTTCTGGCCCGTGGACTGCAGCAGCTTCTTGATGGCAACCTGCTGCCCAGCGTAGCTCCCGATCCAGACCTCGCCCGACGCCCCCTTGGACAAGGACTTGTCGAACGAGAGGCTTTCGTACGGAACGCGTCGGCCCTGCAGGTGAACGCTGTGGAGTAGAATAGCGAGCGTCGCATTTGACCCCGCAGTCTCGTAGTCCTCCGAGTGGCTGAAGCAGGACAGCTGAGCGGTGGCGCGGGTAGAATACGTCGTGGGGCGACTCGGGAGCTCGGGGGTTCCTCCGTCCAAGTAGCACGTCGAGTCGGCGCCAAGATCACACGCGGGCGACGCGGTCAGATCGGGTTTATGGATCGCTCTCCGGCGCCAGCAGCACCAGCCCAGCACTATCGCTCCAATGAGTGCGACGCCCAGGATGATCAGCACGAGCATCAACAGATTCAAGCCGGCAGCGTCTTTAGTACCGAACTCTTCACTCAGCCACGTCGTGACCCACTCGCTTCCCGTCGGCACCGTCATCGTCGCCATCTCCTCGTCCGAGTAGCTGTCTCGCCTGTGGCAAGGCACCGCCACAGACGCGTACCCGTTGTTGGCCGGGCACTGGTTCCACGCCACGTCCAGCGCAGAGGGCACCGTGTGAACAGCGTAGACGCTGTACGAGTGGTTCGAGACGGGGTCAGTCCACGCATGATCTCGCATTCGGATCAGCGGAGCCACGTCCGGGGCGGCCCCGTTCGACCACATCGCGCCCAAGTAGCCGGCAGCTCCGTCGTCTTCGAACGTGTCGGCTACGCACCGCGCCACGCTGAGCATTTGGTCCCCGGAGCAGATCAGAGTGAAGTAGGCTGTCACGTCGTTCGGCTGCGAGCAGTTCTTGAACGTGCAGCCAGCCTCTCCGACCTCCGACTTTGGGATGGCGATGTCCGCCATAGTGAAGTTGTCCATGGTCCAGATCTGCACGGCGTTGTTGGTCGGGGAGATGCCGAATCCCGTATCCCAGAGCACGGCGCGCTGCACAAGGCCCGGAAGATCGTCAAACTTGATGCCCAAGGGATCGAGTCGGTCGCTTAAGGCACGGGGGACGGAGGTGAGGGAGACGGCGTCGCTCGTGTCGCCGGCTTTGTGGCGGGTGTAGAGCTGTCGGGCGATGTCGGAGTTGGTGCCATCGAACACGAACGAGTCTTCAGATGATAGGGGCGATGACTTTAGAGCTCGGAAGTCTCTTCGACCTTGTGCAGCCACGGCTAGAGCTGCTAGTTGGGCTAGGAAAACCGATACCCGCATAGTTTGCGGCTCGGAAGGTAATAATTGGAATGAGGAACGCGTGAGAATGCATCAAAGTACATAAGAGGAAGCTGTCGGTCGTAACGGACTTCTAGCGCCAGGAATGGAATGGTGCGGTGCCGAGAAAGAGGCCAGCACGAAGGGCCTGGTGACCACCACGAGAGATGTAGGTCTCAGTTACGTGGAGATGCAATTCGTGGGGCTCAGCTAACCCGCGCGACTTTCACCTTGCCTGTCACGAAACCCCTTCAAGCACCGCAGTGCATCCGACTTTCTCTCGGACAGGCTTCTGGGCGACCACTACAGATTGTAGCGGTATTCAATTCACAGTCAGGCGAATGGTACTTGTTGCATTCTATCATACTAGAGCAGGTCAATGGAGATGCTCGACGGATTCAAGGCACATAGTACTGTCGAGGGTAGCCATTTTGACTGGATACCTTCACTGACCGCCGAAGCCAGCACGCCCACTCTTCGGCAGGAGATCAGTTCGAATTGATGCTTCATTGACGCTTTTGCTCGCCCAAGTAGTGAGGCCGCTCCGCCGCCATGAAGCTCGTCGGCCGCCAGCTTGCAACTTCCGGTTCCTTCAAGACTGCGGAGCTGCCTTCCAGCAACGATTTCTCCCTCGACGGGATCTCCTCGGACCTCGCTCTGCAGCTCTACTTCCGAGCCAAGGCGGGAGCCCAAGCTGATCAATTCCAGAGCTTCACGGTACCGTCGGCAGTGCAGACGCGACTCGGCGCGCTCCAGCTCGAATGGGGCCAGCTGCCTGGAATCGCCCAGCGAGCGCTGCTCTGGGACTCGGGCTTTGCCGTGCCCCCGACCAACGAGGCCTTGCAGGTCTGGCCGCTCACCATGGCCGACCTGGCCGTGCTGCTCGCCGACTTCCACGCCGTCGGCTGCGAGGAGAAGAAATGCTCGCAGCCAGACAACAGCACGAGCTCCAGCAACTATTACTGCACGGGGGCCGAGATGGTGGCAGCAGCTCGGTGTGTCGTTGACGATTTCGACGACAGCAGCAACCCAAACACTGCGATGTGGGGGATCGGAGGGGACCCCGAGGTGGTCCCGGCCCCATGGATCATCAAGCACACGTGGAGAGACCAGAGCAGTGCCAGCCATTCACACGGTGGATCTGGAGGACGAGCCGTCGTACAACACGTGCGCTACGAGCGACGAGAACGGCGGCTTCGGGTCGCTCGTGTTCCCCTGCTACTTGGCTAGGAACGCATCAGACGCCATCATCAGCAAGAGGCAGCAGGTTAACGGAAGCGCGTGGGTCTCTCGATGGCTGGTTGAAGACTACTCGGTTAGCTCAGCGGAAGGCATCGACATGGTGCTGCTCATTGCCATAATTTGTGGAGCCGTCGTCTTCGCTCTCGTTGTGCTGCTTGCTGTCGTCTATCGGAGGCGGAAATGTGCCTCTCAGCGTGATTCTGGAGACCAACCTACGGCTCCAACGCTTGAGGACAGTGACACCGTGCCGGACCGACTTGTTGGCAAGCCAAACACCGTCGATCCAGCGTATCGGGACTTCACCTCGGAGTGGAATCTCACGCTGAAGACGCTGCTGGGCAGCAAGTCTCTGACGGGCAAGTGCATTCCGTACGAGAGCGTCAAGTTTGAGCGTGCGATATCCAAGGGAGCGCACGGAGAGGTGTGGCTCGGCGAGTACCAGGGCCAGCAGGTCGCTGTGAAGAGGCTCTTGCAGACAAAGACGCTCCAAGCGGACGAAGTGGAGGAGTTCGCCAAGGAGATCGAGCTGAGCGCCAGTCTGGTGCACCACAACATTGTGACGTTTATCGGAGTGGCGTGGAACAGTCTCAGCAACTTGGTCATGGTGCTCGAATACCTCCCCACGGGCGATCTGCAGAGGTTCTTGCGCGACAACCACGCCTCGATGTCTTGGAACAAGGACTTGATACGAGTCGCTGTCGGCATTGGACGCGCTCTCGAGTACTTTCACTCGCGATCTCCTCCGCTTATCCATCGAGACCTCAAGTCGAGGAACATCCTGCTCACTGCGTCACTGGAGGCGAAATTGATCGATTTTGGAGTGAGCAGAGACTGCCAGGAGCTGTCAATGACCGCAGGAGTCGGCACTCCGTACTGGACAGCGCCCGAGATTCTGGAGGGCAAGCGATACACGGAGAAGGCTGACATTTACTCGTTTGGTCCGAGCTGGACACGGGTAGAATCCCCTACCATGACGTCGCAGGCCAAGAGAACAAGCCTATTCAGATTTTGACGGACGTCATGGTGGGGAAGCTGCGTCCGAGTTTCTCCGACAAGTGTCCGCCTCGAATTCTTTGCATTGCAGCAGAGTGTTGCCAGCTTGATGCCTTTAAACGCCCCACGGCTACTGAAGTAGTGAAAATGCTGCAAGAGACCGAATAAATGCCATAAAGTTAAAACTATACAACCCCTGCTCTATTCGTTCGCGTCGCTGTCTTTGCCTTCAAGATCCTGCACCAGCTCCTGCGCTGTTGGCCGACTCAGGGGATCGGTCGACAGACATGCAGAGCTGATCCGTTTGATTCTTGGCGGACACTCGTCGGAGAAACTCGGACGCAACGTGCCCGACATGACTTCGTGCAGGATCTTGAAGGGCTTCATCTTGGTCCCGTCCTCCGTCAACGCGTCGTGGTAGGGGATTCTACTCTTGTCCAGCTCCGACAGTAGTACGCCAAACGAGTAGATGTCGGACTGCTCCGTGTATCGCTTCCCCTGGGGGCTGTCCAGTAGGGCGTGCCCACCCCTCCCGTCATGGTGAGATCCACGAGTCCGCGGCTTATCCCGAAGTCGATGACCTTGGGCTCTAGTGATTCGGTTAGCAGGATGTTGTTCGACTTGATGTCGCGATGGATTAGAGGCGGCGTACACGCGTGCAGGTACTTGAGTGCTTGAGCGACTCCGATGGCCATGTGGATCTTGTGTCTTGCCCACGATAGTTTGTCTCCATGTTCCTCCAGGTAGTTGTGTAGATTGCCCGTGGGTAGGAACTGCAGTACCATCTCCAGGTTGCTGAGCGTGTTCCAGGCGACGCCGAGGAACTCGATGATGTTTGGGTGAACGAGACTTGCGCTTAGCTCGATCTCCTCGGCAAAAGCTTGAACCATCTCCGCATTCTGGATCTTGGCTTGCAGCAGCTTCTTCACAACCACCTTCTGTCCACTGTACTCGCACAGCCAGACTTCACCCGACGCCCCCTTCGACAGAGGTCTCTCGAAAGTGATACTGTCGTACGGAATGCGTTTCCCCTGCAGATGCACGCTCCCGAGCAGGATCTTGAGCGTCCTGCTTGAGCCGGGGCTGTCGTAGTTGGTGGGACTCGAGATTGACGCGCTTTGAAGCGCCATGGGGCTGGTCACGATCGTGGAGCGAGTCTCTTCTTGGGGACCTCGAGGGCGTTTTGCCAGGTATTGGGATCTACGTCGCCAGCCGAACAGGCCAGCACGCGAGCACAGTCAAGACGACAAGGACGATCACCGCCGTGCTGGAACCTTCATCTCCACTAGCGAACTCTGCTTCCAGCCATGTCGTGACCCACACACTCCCCGTTGGTGTGGTCGTGTTTGCAGCCATGAACTCGTCTGTCAACTAGTCCCTTCGAATGCAAGGAATACTCACTGTACCGTAGTCGTTCAAGGCGCACGTGTTCCAGGACACCTCTGTCAAGCTAGGAATGGTATGCACCACGTAGATCGAGAACGTCGTCTTGCCGCCAAACGCAGGGATGTCCTCGGACCACGTGTGGTCTCGCAGCTCAATCTGAGGCACCACGTCGCGGGCGCCACCTCTCGCCCACATGTTGCCCAGGTAAGACCCAGCGCCTTTGTCCTTGAAGACGTCGGCCACGCAGTGCGAGGTGTTCCCCATCTGATAGCCTGTGCATATATTGGTTTAGTAGGCCGTCACATTGTTCGGCTGCGAGCAGCTCTTGAACTTGCAGTCCACGTAGCTCACCTCGTCCTTCTGCACGGCGATGTCGGCCATAGAGCGATTCCCCATGGGCCAGATCTGGACGGGCACGTTGTCCGGAGCCAGCGCGAAACCCGGCGCGCTGCACGATGCCCGGGAGATCATCAAAGCCAATGTTGAGCGGGGCCAGTCGGTTCTTCACCGCATCCGGAACGAACTTGAGGGAGACTCGGTAGCGGGTGTCGTTGGCGTGGTGGCGGATGTAGAGCTGCCGGGCGATGTCGGAGTGGGTCCCATCAAACACGAACGAGTCGTTGGAAGAAGGCAGCGAAGCGGAGGACGAGGACGAAGAAGAGCCCCCCCCCCCCCCTCCAGACTGCGAAAGCTGATGATGTGGCTGCCTGTCATGATCTCACTCACGGCGGATCTTAGTCCAGTGGACGTACGACGCTTGAGGCGACGGTATCCGTCGAGAAAACTAGGATAGTTAACCCGAGTTTGGGAACGTTTTGGTAGGTTACAGTCCTTCTTAGATATTTTCTTACATTACGTCGCTAATACTTACCCAGGAGCTCCAGTACGAGCTCCCGTGCTGTGGGTCGTTTCCGAGGGTCGAGGGATAAGCACGCCGCGCCAATCCGCTGGATACGAGGAGGGCAGTCTCGAGAGAAATTTGGACGCATGGCGCCCGCCATGACTTCCTGCAAAATGTGGAATGGTCTTACCTTGCTGCCGTCCTCCATCACCGCGTCAGAGTAGGGGATTCTACCCGTGTCCAGTTCCGAGAGCACCACACCGAACGAGTAGATGTCCGACTTCTCCGTGTACCGATCGCCCTCCAAGATCTCGGGCGCTGTCCAGTAGGGCGTCCCCACCCCCGACGTCATGGTACTGTCGATCATGTTTCGACTGACGCCGAAATCCGTGAGCTTGGGTTCCAGATGCTTGGTCAGTAGAATGTTGTTGAACTTGAGGTCGCGGTGGATGACCCCCGGTGTGCGACTGTGCAGATACTCGAGCGCCTCGGCGATCGCGATTGCGATGTGGATCTTGTCTCTGGCCCACGAGAGGATGCGGATGTTCTTCTCCAAGTAGTCCCGGAGGTTCCCGTTGGGCACGTACTCGATGACCATGGACAGGTTGGTCAGGTTGTTCCACGCCACGCCGATGAACTTGACGATGTACGGGTGCACGAGGCTGGCGGTCAGCTCGATCTCCTCTGCGAACGACTGCACGTCGTCCGCCTTCACCCCTCGGGTCAGCAGGAGCTTCTTGGCCGCGACTTGCTGGCCTCCGTACTTGCAAAGCCAAACTACTCCTGACCCACCTCGTGACAATTTGGACTCGAAGACGAGGTTGTCGTAGGGAATCCGATTTCCGTGGAGGTGCGGACTGTGCAGCAGGATCCTGAAGGTTTGGTTCGAGCCGACGCTTTCGTAGTTTTCAGCGCGACTGGAGCTAGAAAATGCGTAGCTTGGGTCGGTGCTCATGACTGGAGACGTCACTGCGTCGTAGGACTCCCCAGCGACGTAATGGTGTTGAAACGCTTCGTAGTCGTCGGGTACTTCGCCGTTCCTCCTTTTTGCTCTCCGCTTCAAGTACACTCCAACGAAAGCACCAGCAGCGACTGTCACCAGAGAGCCTAGAATGATCGGGATCAATAGCAGTTTGTTGAAACGAGGCTTCTTCACTGCGAACTCCTCCCTCAGCCAATTCGTCACCCAGTTACTGCCCGCTGGTTTAGTCATGGCAGCGATATCTTTATCCGTGAACTCGCTTCGCTTGTGGCAAGGAACAACCAGCGATGAGTATCCTCCGTTAGCGGGGCACTGGTTCCAGGTCGGATCGTCAGCGCTCGATTCTGTGTGGATAGCGTAGAGTTCGTAGGCGTCCCCCGTAGTGGGCTCTACCCACGAGTGATCTCTCAGCCGAATAAGTGGAGTCATGTTGGCGCTCCCACCCGTTGACCACATTACTCCGAGGTAACCTGACGCTCCGGAGTCTTCGAATGTATCGGCTACACAGCGCGACACGTTGAGGATCTGACTGCCCGTGCAGTATTGACTGGAGTAAGCGGGCTCGCTGTTTGGTTGCGGACACTCGAGCATTGTGCAGTTAACTTCGGCGATGTCTTGTTGAGGCACGGAGATGTTGGCCATCGTGTAGTTCTCCATGGTCCAGATCTGCACTGGGTCGTTGTCGGGCGAGATAGCGAAGCCAGAGTCCCAGAGTAGCGCGCGTTGGACGAGTCCGGGGAGGTCCTTGAAGCTGATGAAGAGCGGGTCGAGTCTTTTGGCCACGAACGCCGGGATGAAGTTGAGTTCGAGCGCGGCTTCGACGTCACCGGCCTGGTGGCGGATGTAGAGCTGCTGGGCGATGTCCGAGTTGGTGCCATCGAAGACGAAGGACGAGTCGTTGGTCGGTGAAGGTGATGGGAAAGCCTCTTCCACGCTTCGGAAGGTGATGGTGTAGTCTTGGGCCGAGGTGGAGGTCGAGCCGGCCGCAAGAATAGTTATTGATACGAGAGCTGAAGCTCGCATGGCTGCGAGTCAGTCCGCAGATTTAGAAATGGAGACAATTGGCCCTGATGTTAACGAGTTCGTCGACGTGCTTGCAGCGTGGACACATGGGCCTGGCAAGTAATTTATAGCAGCTTTGCTCTCAACGGAGCGACGGCAGGGATTCGTGCACATGGCTGCAGTCATCTGGAACAACTTTGTGGAGGCTTGGCACAATTCGCCGCTAAAAATGACACGATAGGAGTGTTTTCCGAGCATTACGAACTGCAGGATGATCAAGCGTGAACAACTGCTGCTTGATTCAGGGACAGATTTGCAACGTGAAGATCTATTCAGCCGCCAAGCTTAGCCTGGCGGCGGCTGTGTGATCAGAATAGACTGGAGGTGACCGTGTTCTTGGCTCTATGACGAATCGATAAGACTTCAACCGTTGGATGGTTGACGGCAAGTGTCTCCAACTGCTTGCAGGCGACAAGAGGCTCTACCTGGAGAAGATACTCGCTAACCACCACCGGTTTTGACGCTCACTTGCTGTCGGAGCTTTCAAGATCTCGAATAAGTTGACTGGCTGTCGGACGATCCGCTGGGTCCAGCTTCAAGCATGAGAGAGCGATCTGCCGGATCACTGGCGGACAGTCGGTTGAGAAACGCGGCTGCAACGTGCCCTTCATCACGTTCTGCAAGATCTGGAACGGCTTCGCTTTGCTTCCGTCTTCAGTCAAGGCGTCCGAGAAGGGGATTTCGCACGTGTCCAACTCCGACAGCACCACGCCGAAGGAGTAGACATCCGCCTTCTCGTCGTACCTCTTGCTTTCCAAGATCTCCGGCGCTGTCCAGTACGGCGTGCCCACTCCAGCGGTCATGGTGAGGTCAACCTTTCCACGGCTCACTCCAAAGTCGATCAGCTTGGGACCCAGCGCTTCGGTCAGCAAGATATTGTTCGACTTGAGGTCGCGATGTATCAGAGGAGGCGTCCGAGCGTGCAAGTAGTCCAGAGCTCGAGCGATTCCGATCGCCAGAGTGATCTTGTCGCTAGCCCAGGATAGCTGGCCCCCACCCTGATGCAAGTAGTTCTGTAGACTCCCCTTCGGAAAAAACTCGAGCACCATCACCAAGTTGCTGAGACTGTTCCACGCCACGCCGATGAACTCGACGATGTTTGGGTGAACAAGACTTGCGCTCAGCTCGATTTCCTCTGCAAAGGCGTGCACCTTGTCAGCTTTCTGTTGCTTGGACTGCAGCAGCCTTTTGACAGCCACCTTTTCCCGGTTGTAGTCGCAGAGCCAGACTTCTCCGTAGGCTCCTTTCGAGAGAGCTTTGTCAAAAACCAAGCTCTCGTACGGAATTCGCTTTCCTTGGAGATATTCGCTGTTCAGAAGCAGGTGAAGCGTCTCGTTCGTGCCTGCAGCTTCGTAGACAGATTCTGCTGGGGGTCGTAGCCTCGCTTCACTTGATGTAGTCGAAGATTGTTGCTTGACCCGCTGTATTCTGCGGTGCCAACAAAAAGCTCCGATGCCAATTGCAGCAATCGCCGATACCACGATGACGATAACTAAACTCAAAGGGAAACCGTGAGCGAATTCCTCCTCCAGCCACTTCGTTACCCAGGCACTTGCTTTAGGGACGCGCAGGCCAGCCGTGTCACCACGGTAAGCATCTCTTCGCTGGCAAGGTACGGTGAATGATGCATACCCACTCGTAGGGCACGTAGCCCAAGCTGCCTCGTCGGCACTTGGAGTTGTGTGGACAGCGTAGACACTGTTTATTACGGTCTCATTTTGGGCGGTAGATTCTGCCCACGAGTGCTCTCTCAGCAGTAGCCCAGGGATCCCTCCAGGGTCTCCTCCGTTAGCCCAGAACGTGCCCAAGTAGGTGCCGGCACCGTTATCTTCGAACGTATCCGCCACACACCGCACCATGTTGAGAATTTGCGAGCTTGAACAGGATTGAGACGAATATGCTGTTATGTTGTTTGGCTGGGAGCAATTGGTCATGGTGCAGTCCACCGTGAGCACATCGGAGACGGGGAGCGCGAGGTCTGCCATCGAGTGCTTGTACAGCGTCCAAATCTGCACGGGATCGTTCCCAGGCGCGATGGCGAAGCCAGAGTCCCACAGAACCGCACGCTGGACCAGTCCGGGGAGTTCACCGAAGTCGATATTGAGCGGGTCGAGACGGTCGATCACCGCGGCCGGCACCGATGTAAGATTAACTTGGTCAGTCGAGTCTCCAGCTCGGTGGCGGGTGTAGAGCTGCTGGGCGATGTCGGAGTTCGTGCCATCGAACACAAAAGAGTCGTTAGACAGCGACGAAGGAGACGCAGCCAGTCCTCGCAGGTTGCTGTGGGCCGCTAGAGACCAGATCTTGTACACAACATTAACCATGTCGACTGCTTGGCCTCGATAGACTAAGATCCAAAGAGACCCTACGGACAGTGAAAAACAAAATCAAGGATACACATTCCCCGTTTTCCATTTCCACATTACCAGTTTCCAGCAAATGTACATATAATATATCATCGTATCTCCCCTATAGAGTATAGATTCGCTGACGTGCATCCACCGACAGCATCTGCGTGAGCTCGGTCGCCGTGGGGCGCATGTCCGGGTCGTGCTGCAGACCGACCGAGCGGATCCACCGAGGACAGTCCTGCGAAAAGGCCGGGCTGAGTTTGCCGTCCAGCACCCAGCGCAGGATCTGGGCCGGCTTGGGCTTCTTGCCCTCCGCCGTAACGCCGTCGGTGAACGGCGTCCGGCACGTGTCCAGCTCCGACAGCACCACCCCGAACGAGTAGATGTCCGCCTGCTCCGAGTACCGTTTGCCCTGCAAACTTTCGGGCGCGATCCAGTAGGGCGTCCCCACCCCGGCCGTCGTGGTGAAACCTTCGCTACAGGCGCGACTGACGCCAAAGTCGCCGACTTTAGTCTCCAGCGTCTCGGTTGGTAGAACGTTCATGGACTTGAGGTCTCGGTGGATGATCGGCGGCTCCTGGTCGTGGAGGTAGCGCAAAGCTTTGGCCACGCCGACCGCCATGCGGATCTTGTCGCGATTCCAGGACAGCAGCCGCCCGCTCTCTCGGAGGAAGCGCCTCAAGTCTCCCATGGGGCAGAACTCCAGCACCAAGGCCAGGGTGTCGACGTTGCTGCCTGCCACGCCAACGAACGCAACGATGTGAGGGTGCGTCAAGCTCGCGGTCAGCAGGATCTCGTCTGCAAAGTCCTGCACGTCCTTGCGCGAGTGCTCGTTGGTCCTCAGAAGCTGCTTGACGGCGACTTGGTGGCCCCTGTACAGTCGGAGCCACACTTTCCCGTGCGCGCCACTCGAGAGCGTCGCCTTGAACTTGAGACGCTGGAATGGGATCCGCCTGCTTGCCAGCTCCGGACTCTCCAATAGTCGAGGCAAGATGCCAGCGCTCTTCACCTCGTCGCTCTTCGGCGGGACTCGGTACGTCTCGTCGAGTCCGAGCGGCCTGGCACCGAGGGACAGCGTGTGGCAGCGCTCGGAGCTCGGCGAGTGCTGCGCGTACGCCTCGTACACTGGCAGACTGAAGCTGGTGGGGAACTCGACCTTCAGCTCCCTTTGTCGACGGTGGAGCAACTGAGCAGAGCCCGATCCAGAACACGACGACGACGATCAAGCCGCCCACCGCCAGCAAGACCACCAGGGTCATACTAAGCTTGGCTGGCCATTGTTCCGCGGCAGCCATGCTGAGGAGTCTACGAGCGCTCGACGGAATGCAGCGGTGGCCATGGCGGATCCAATTCACGACTGGCGGATCGGATCTTCTCTTCGACGAAGCGGGGGACGAAGCATTCGTCCGTGCTAGCTGGACACACACGCGCAGCATTGGCCATGACCCACCTTAGATCAAGGCGGCCCACTCAGAAGCCGTACTACGTGGGACGGCCCGGCACCCATTGCCTTGGCCGCTGCATTGTGAGCATCGTGAGAATCCCCTTTAACCCAATCGCCATGACCAGACCTCTTGGTGATCGAAAACTGTACATGAACGTGGGCCTCTGCCGTCAGTTCTCGTTGAAGGCAGCTTCAACTTTGACCGCGTCGAGACCGAACGCGTGGATTCTCCCTCGGCCTCAGGCCTCGGACCACGCTTCCGGCCTCGATGAAGGTGGCACTCCCGCCTTCATCGAGACCATAGAGCCTCCATTGGAGGCCACGGCCACCTACATGTCGCGAGGGGCTCATCTGAGCGAGCACGAGACAGAGGTTTGCCATGCATTTGTCAGAAGTCGCTCCACACGCGCGCATAGCCCGGGCCAGCTGTCATATATCGCACACCCGCCACATGGGTTCAGCGGCGCCCGGACCCAAACATGCCACCTGCCTGCGCCGGCTTGACGGTCTCCACCACTGGATCACGAGGACATTCCTCAACCCGCTGGCCGTCGCGAACATCACCACCACCACCTATCCGCTACACGTTGACGCCGACATGTCGTCGTCCATCGAGCTGGACGGCACGAGCTCCGACCTGGCCCGGCAGCTCTACTACCGGGCCAAGGAGGACGACACGTCCGTGAGCCAAGTGACCATCTCCGCCGTGCCGGACGCCGTGCAGAGCCGCCTGGACGACATGAAGCTCGACTGGAGCAAGCTGCCGGGCCTGGCGCAGCTCGCGCTGCTCTGGGACTCGGGGTTCGCCATCAACATCCACAACGATCCTGTGAAGATGTGGACGCTTGGGGACAACAACATGTCCACCCTGGCCCTCTCCGTGGACGAGTTCACGGCCGCCGGCTGCGAGCTCAAGAACTGCTCGCAGCCGAACAACACGACGGCCCACGAGAGCTACCTGTGCAACGGCGCGCAGATGAACACCGCGGCCAAGTGCGTCGTCGAGGAGTTCACTGACGGCAAGGACTACAACGCGGCCATGTGGGGCACGGGCGGCAATCCGTCGGCCGCGCCGAGCCTGCGCGTGGCCAAGCACGAGTGGTGGGAGAACGGAGAGACCCACTACGTCGTCATGGCGCTGCACACCGTGGGCATCGACCAGGAGCCGGGCTGGAACGCCTGCGCCAACAGTCTGCAGAACGACGGCTTCGGCTCGCTGGTGTTTCCGTGCCGCACGACGGCCAACCTGACGGCGGCCAACGAGGCCGACAAGAAGGAGGTGGAGGGCAGTCAGTGGGTGGAGGACTGGCTGGTGGCCGACTACATGGCCACGGCCAAGGCCGAGGACTCGGACGGCTTCAACATGATCCTGCTGGTGCCCATTATTGTCGGGGCTTTGGTGGTGCTCGCGCTCGTTGCGCTGGCCTTCTACTGCCGCCGTAAGAGGAAGCAACAGGCTCAGAAGCAGCAGTACGAGGACAGCAGCACTACCACGGGCCAGACGCCGTACTACGCGCCGTCTGGAGACAAGTACTCGGACCAGCGCGAGACGCTGGCCCGACCCACTTTCGCAGCTAGCGAGGACATGACGGTCTCCACGTACGCGGGGGCGGACCAGACCATCCAGTTCCCGGCCGGTTACGACAGCGAGTTCGCGTCCGCGGGCTCCAATACGACGCTGAAGGTTCTGCTGAAGAGCGAGTTCCTCGTCGGAAAGCGGATCCCGCTGGAGAGCTTGATCTTCGAGAAGCCGCTGTCCAAGGGCGCGTCGGGAGAGGTCTGGGTCTGCGAGTACGCGGGCCAGAAGGTGGCGGCCAAGAGGCTGCTGCAGACCAAGGACCAGAAGGCCGAAGACGTGCACGAGTTCGCGCTGGAGATCGAGCTGAACGCGCACTTGCAGCACCCCAACATCGGCGCGTTCATCGGCGTGGCATGGAGCAGCCTCAACAACCTGGCAATGGTCGTTGAATACTTCCCCCAAGGAGACCTTCAAAGCTACTTAAGGAAAAACGCCGACTTGCTATCGTGGGCCAAGGACAAAATCCATATGGCTGTTGGCGTTGCTCAAGCACTCGAATACCTGCACGCGCACTCGCCCCCGATCATCCACCGCGATCTCAAGTCCAAGAACATTCTGCTGACGAAGCAGTTGGAGGCCAAGGTGATCGATTTCGGTGTGAGTCGTGGACGTCTGGACAATACAATGACTGCAGGAGTGGGCACGCCCTACTGGACGGCACCTGAAATCCTCGAGGGCAAGCGGTACACCGAACAGGCCGACATTTACTCGTTCGGAGTGGTCCTGTCGGAGCTCGACACGTGCAAGATCCCGTTCCACGACTGTATGGACACGAACGGAAAGAAGGCCAAGCCGTTCCGTATCCTGCAAGAGGTCATGTCTGGCGTTCTGCGTCCCAGCTTCTCGGAGGACTGTCCTCCTCGAATCCGTCGCATTGGTATCATGTGCTGCCAGCACGACCCCGCGCGACGACCTACCGCGGCTCAGCTGGTGGAGATGCTACAGGGCCAGTGAAACGGTGTAAGTTAACTTTATTTCATCATTGCCAATAGTTATGTGTCCTACCTACCTATCCTTCTTGCCTAGTATTAGTTTGTTTTTGAACTTCAGCCTTCCAGCAGCTTCACGAGCTCCGAAGCCGATGGTCTCAGCTTCGGGTCGTGCTGGAAACACGCGTCGGCTGCCTTGCGGATCCGCTGGGGACACCCGTCAGTGAGACTCGGTCTCAACAGGCCGTCCACCACTTGTTTGAGGATGAGGAAGGGCTTCATCTTCTCCCCATTCGCCCCCACCACGCTGTGGAAGGGGGCCTCGCAAGTGTCCAGCTCCGTCAGCAGCACTCCGAACGAATAAATATCTGCCTTCTCCGTGTACTCGGTGCTCTCGAGCACCTCGGGCGCAGTCCAAAACGGCGTGCCGACACCCGCCGACATGTCGAATGGGGAGATCAGGCGACTAGCGCCAAAGTCGATGAGCTTGGGCTGCAGCCGCTTGGTCAGCAGCACGTTGCGGGCCTTGAGATCTCGGTGGATGACTTCGCGACTGTGCAAGTACTGGATGGCCTTCGCGATGCCGACGGCCATGTGGATCTTATCGCACGCCCAGGTCATCAAGTCTCCATTGCGGTGCAGGTACTGCTGCAGGTCGCCCCGAGGGAGGTACTCCTCCACCAAGGCCAAGTTTTCCAGACTGCTCCAGGCCACGCCGATGAAGCGCACGACGTTCGGGTGGTTCAGACTGGCAGTGAGCTGGATCTCGTTCGTGAACTTCTCCGTCTCGTGGAAAGTCGGCTTCTTCGACTGCAGCAGGCGCTTGACGGCCACCTTCTTGCCGGCGTATCGGCACGCCCACACCTCGCCGAACGCGCCTCTGGAGAGCAGACGCCCGAGTTCAATCCGCTCCCACGCGATACGCTTCCCCACCAAGTTGGAGTCCGTTGTCAGTGTGTACTGCACATTGTCGGCCGCCGAGTAGCGGCAGAAAGTCTCGCGCATGGCCGGGATCGACTCCCGATCCGCTTGAATCGAGTCTCTGATCGACGGCATCGACTCTCGGATCGGCGTCATGGAAAAGGACTCGCGCAGCGTCGGCAAATGGTCTTGGGATGCGGAACGAATCCGTGCTGCTTGCGTCGTAATATTCCGAGCCGACTGACTGCGTCTTCCGGAGGCCGTGCTTCGGCCTTCTGATGCACGCATGGAACTTGGTCGAATCGATGTTTGTTGGTTACGAGCTCCCGGCTGACTTCGCATAGCTGGAGTGACCGCCCAAGCGGCATGCTGTTGACTTGGTGCCGCTGGGGTGGAGCTCCGCGCCGCTGGTAGAGTTCCTCTCCGAATCGGTGCGTTGCTTTGGACTACAGGAAGGCTGCCACGCGCTGCAGCTGCAGCAGCAAAGCCACGCATCGGTGGAGCGGTAGTTCTCGTGACCGGAGCAGTGTTTCGGCGCGGTCGAGGGAGCACTTCGTCGAAGTCGGGTGAGGGCTCCTCCACTGGAGACGAGCTGTCGTCGTCCCCCGGCAGACGAAGAGTACGGTTGAACTCGCCGATCGTTTCCTGCTCGGTGCGTCGGAGACTTGTCCGGTTGATTGCAGGTCGTCGAGGCGCCGTGAGGGGCCCCGAGGGCTTGGACTTGCGACCAGAGGCGTCACTGTCGGCCGGGGAATCGCGCTGCCAGTACACCGAACGCAGTCGGCGACGCTTCTTGAACACCGCAGCAAAAATCAACGCTGCCGCCGCCAAGGCCGATAGGATGATCGGGATCAGCAGCCACAGATTGAAGCCGCTGCCGGGGCTGTCGGAGTCGCTGTGCACGGTCGTGTCCGTAGCCGGTCGGTATTGCTTGATCCACGTCGTGAGCCACGGGCTTGTGACGGGCGCTGACATCACTGCGACGACATCCGCCGACGTGTTGCTCAGCGGGTAGCACGGGATGACGAGCGAGCCGTAGCCGTTCGTGTTGCACGTGCCGTACGCCGGCTCCGATTTGGCCGACATCGTGTGCACCGCGTACACCAGGTACGAGTTGTTGTTGTCGAGGTCGCGCCAGCCATGCAGCACGGCGCGGATGTGCGGGACCATGTCCGGGTCGCCTCCGTTCGACCACATGGCCACGTGCGAGCTCGCGTCCGAGTCGAAGTCGTCCATGAGGCACTTGGCGGCCGTGAGCATCTGCGTTCCCGAGCAGAATTCGTTGGCGTTGTACGTCGTGTTGTCCGGCTGGCCGCACCAGAGCGCCGTGCAGCCCGTCGTGAAGTACTCGACCTTGGACACGGCCAAGTTGGCCATCGACCGGCCTCCGAGCGTCCAGATCTGCACCGCGTCGTTGTCGGGCGAGATGACGTAGCCCGAGTCCCAGAGCAGCGCGCGCTGCAGCATGCCCGGCAGGTCCTCGTACGACACGTTGAGCGGCGCCAGTCTGGCCGTGACGGCCGCCGGCACCGTGTTGGGGCGCACGGGGTCCACGGTCTCACCTGCAGCGTGCCGCAGGTACAGTTGGCGCGCGATGTCGGACGTGGAGCCGTCGAACACGAACGAGTCGCTGGCCGTCGGTAGTGCCGTCCCGGCCTGCGCCTCGGACGTGAAGCTCAGCGCTGCTTCAGCAGAAGCGGCGAACATGGCCGCCAAGTTGGCGGCCGCGACTACTGCAGCCGCGAGTCGGGGCCGGCGTCGGCGCGCCATGCTGCGCTATCGTCTGTCGGAACAAAAGCAAAACTGGTCCAGCGTGGCGTCGGGTTCGGCTCACCCGCTGCCGTCGTTGCAGTGACTCAGCCCCTGCCACCTCCAGCTAACTTGGCCACGGGCCGAGTATTTGGAACTGGTCGACCTGTAAGCCGCGACGCCCGTGTTAACCCACGCAGACTCGGGACCGCAAACAACAGGAACTGTCCGTCGCAGCCCGAGTCTGATGAACGCCCGGGTCAAGAACGCATACCCGTCCATCATGATGCTGCGACGCGCGCATCGAAAGGGGCCGTCCCCATACTTGCGGCCCGTAAACGCGCTGTCAGTGCTGCCTCCGAGCCTCGATGGCCAGGGGAAGAGGCAAAGCCTTCGTTGAAATCAACTGGGGGTCAGCGATTTGCCCGACGCGGCCAGAGACTGTGACCGGATTGACCTCGAAAGCAGAGACACTGCAGCTCGCTATGCGTCCGTCGCGATTTGCCACGGGTCTGGGAGCGCCTTGCACTCGAAATTCGAGCGATTCAATCTTTTCAACTGCAACATCGAGCAGCGGCATCGATTGATCCACACGAAAGACCGGCCAATTCGCGAGGATCACCGTGCGACTCGATCGATAAAAACCGCTACAGAACATGCCATGGCATGGTTAGGTAGAGCAGCTTGATGGACGGACGGCGCCTTGGGCAGGTGCGCTTGCGAGATACGGAGGCATCTTCGGATCGGGACTTTGCATGGCTCAGGTGTCAATACCCGCCATCAGGACTGGTCCGCTTCAATACACCTCGCTCACGGATCGAAAGTACACTTGCCGTACGATCCATTCCGACGCCTGTCCAGAGCGGCCGATGGTGCAATCTCGACGTTATGCCCGCTCGACGAGGCTGTGCGCGGAAGGCTATCGATGAATTCGAGATCTTCTCCGAATCTACCTACAGAAGAATAAGTATTGTAAAACAACTTGAACTTTTGATCGACCAGCCATAATGTGTGAGAACGCCATCCTACGATGTCTCAATCTATCGCGCATAAGCAACTTGGCATGGAAGACGCCCCCAGACAGCTCGTCGGAACCAGCTTGCCGCGTTACAAGCTGGCTTCGGGCTGCAAGCCCCACAGTGAGAAACGATTCAAATCCATGGGGCTTTGGAGAACTCGCATTCGTAATTTTTAGGGGGCGGTCACTTGTGAGCGTTTGGCGATCATCTGCTGCGTGAGCGGACACTTGGGGCACAGCCGCGTCCATTTCAACCGGACAAGCGGAGTCGAGCCGCATAAACGCCTCGCACCTCACGCTACGGGCCCTCGACTAGGCGCCACGCGTTCATGTGTGCAAGTGCAACCTCTTGCCGATTGACGACATACACTTAGCAAGGGATTGCTCACTGACTGACTGCCCGCCACAAGCGTCGACCACGGTGGTCGCAGGCCCAGAGGCTTCACCACACACTCGCTGCGTTGGTGATTTCGGACTGTTGCAACGGAACAAGTGGAGGCTCGAGGCCACCCATTCACCGTAGTAGGTGTGCTCGTCTTGAGGTCTTACTTGCGTACCAGTCGCTTCGACCAACTGCAGTGAATTCATTCATCCTGATAAGTAAGTGACCCCGTGCATAATGCAGTCGATAACCCGAATCCGGTAAAGTTGAGATATATGAGCCGAACCGCTTGCGGACTTCGAGTCGAAGCCCTTTGGTGGACAACATCCAGCACAAACCAGACTAGACCTGGCTCAATCCATGCATCGAACAAAGAGCCTTCCAATTCATGAATCGAAGGCTTCCAGCGGTCGTCACTTGTCTTCTCTACTCCAAGAACCGCCAGCTCGTCCGCAATGAGACTCGCAGCCTTGTTCGCCCTCCCGACGAGTTGGTGCTGGGTGCACGCTCAAACGATCACCGTTAGAAGCCTCAAATCAACTTCATCGTCCTCTTCCTCGCTGCCGTTCAACTCGTCCTTCGTCTTTGACGGCACCAACTCGGACATCGCCCAGCAGCTCTACATCCGCCACAAAGCGGGCGACACGGGCGCCGCCCTCGACCTCACGTTTGTCCCCAGCGCCGTGACCAAGCGGCTGAGTCCTCTCAACATCGCCTTCAACGACCTGCCGGGCCTCGTCCAGCGCGCTGTGCTCTGGGACTCGGGCTTCGCCGTCTCGCCCGACAACGACCCGGTGCAGATCTGGACCATGGGCGACTACTCCATGACCGACATCGCCATCCCCAAGGCCGACGTGGCCAACGTGGACTGCACGTTCCTCAACTGCTCGCAGCCCAACGCCGAGACGGCCTACTTCACGAAGACCTGCACGGGCTACCAGATCCTCAACGCCTCTCGCTGCGTCGTGGATCTGTTCGAGGACCCAGGCGCTGGCAGCTTCCTGGGAACAATGTGGTCAACTGGGGGATTTCCCAACAGGACACCTGAGCTGAGACTAAGAGAGCACACGTGGACACAGGACATCGACGAGTTCGGAGGCAACATCACCTTCTCCGTCTACTCGGTTCACACGGTGCCCAGTAGGGAGGACTCAACTTGGAATGTGTGTCCGCATTGAAGCCTGCGATCTGGACGACGGGTTCTCGCCGCCTTACTGTGGGGTCTCTCAGTCCATTGCTACAACGAGGCATTGGACTACCCCCACCTCCCCTCTCTGGAGTCTTTCTGGAGACTATGAAGGAGCAGGATCCAACAAGACCCTTAGGATATTGCTAGCCAGCCAGCACCTAAACGGGAAGCGCATTCCCTACAACAACTTCGCCTTTCAACAGGCCATTTCCAAGGGGGGATCCGGAGAAGTCTGGGTCTGCGAGTACAATCAGCGAAAGGTGGCGGCCAAGAGACTGCAGGAACAGAAGGCTGAGAAGGTGCACGCTTTTGCCGAGGAGATCGAGCTAAGTGCCAGCCTCATTCACCCCCACATCGTCGAATTCATTGGCGTGGCTTGGAGCAGTCTCAGCAATTTAGTGATGATCCTCGAATACGTCCCCGGTGGAACCCTGTGGAGCTTCCTCAACACAAACGCAGAGCTGTTGTCGTGGGCGAGGTGCAAAATCGACATTGCAATCGGAATCGCTCAAGCTTTGGAGTACTTGCACGACCGCCCGCCTCCTCTCATCCATCGCGACCTCAAGTCGAGCAACATGTTGCTGACGGATAAGCTGGAGCCCAAGCTGATCGACTTTGGAGTGAGCCGCGGAATTGCTGATATCACGATGACTGCTGGCGTGGGCACGCCCTACTGGACGGCGCCGGAGATCTTGGAAGGCAAGCGGTATACTGAGCAGGCGGACGTTTATTCGTTCGGCGTGGTGCTGTCCGAGTTGGATACGGGTATTGCCCCCTACAGTGCGGATGAGAGGGAAGGCGGGGGCAGGTTAAATCATTTACAGATCTTGAAAGGGGTCGTGGCCGGCACATTGCGTCCGACGTTCTCGTCCGAGTGCCCTCTGCGAATTCAACGTGTTGAAGCCTGTTTGGCCCATAACCCAGTGAACCGCCCCACAGCACAGCACTTGCTTCGAGAGCTAGAGGGTGACGGCGAAGATTTGATGTATGACCTATGAATTATATTTTTGTAAGTAAAAGATTATAGAGCTGCTTGCACTCACGACCACGGAACCGAAATCCTACTGCAAAGTGTAGCATTAATGTTCTACAAAGCTGAAGGCCATTCAGGCCCTAAAGGGGGTCGTGGCAGACACGTTGCGACCAAGTTTCTCCTCGGACTGTGGATTCAACGTGTGGTTTGATCCTGCATGGCTCGTGATGCGGCGACTAATTGCGGATTATGTTTTGTTCGACCTTGACGGCAACGGCGGCGAGTTGGTGTACTCTCTGTCATGTGAAATTCAGCTGTCTTCTCGGATTAATTATTACTTATCATTATTTTTCGGTTAGCTACTTTCTTCTGCTACATTGTCGGTCGTTTGTAGCAGTTTGACCACTTGAGCTGCAGTGGGCCGCTGATCCGGGTCTTGGTGGCAGCACGCCTCGAAGATATCGCGGATTTGCTGAGGGCAGTCTTTCGATAAAGTTGGGCGCAGCCTTCCGGCCACAACCTCGGCCAGGATCTGGATTGGCTCGAGTTTCTTGCCGTCCGAGGTCAACGTATCTTGGTAGGGAATCATGCCCGTGTCGAGCTCCGACATCACCACTCCGAATGAATAAATATCCGCCTGCTCCGTGTACTTCCTGCCTTCCAGGATCTCGGGCGCGGACCAATACGGCGTGCCGACCCCCGCCGTCATGGAGTTCTCTTGACGCCCACGACTGACGCCAAAGTCGATGAGTTTGGCCTCGAGTTTTTTCGTTAACAGGACGTTCTTGGACTTGAGGTCTCGGTGGATGAGCGGCGGCGTTCTAGCGTGCAGATACTCGAGCGCGAGTGCGATCCCCGCTGCAATGGGGATTTTATCCTTGGGCAACGATAACAGGTCGAAGTTCTTGCGGAGATACGTCTGTAGATCTCCAGTGGGGAAGTACTCGATCACCATGGCCAAGTTGTTGAGACTGTTCCACGCCACACCGACGAATGCGACGATGTTCGGGTGGATCAAACTCGCGCTGATCTCGATCTCCTGGGCGAACTCCTCCACCTCCTCCGCCAGGTGGGTCTTGTTCTGCAGCAGCCTCTTCACGGCCACCTGCTGGCCGACGATGTCTCCGAGCCACACCTCGCCGTACGCCCCCTTGGAGATCATGCGCTTGAGAACGATGCTCTCGTACGGAATACGCTTCCCGGACAGACGCTCGCTGGAGAGCAGCGCCTTCAGAGTCGCGTTCCCATACTCAGACGATTGCATTGTCGAGTTGTTGACGAACCTCGAGCCTGCGCCGGCAACGTGAAGTGTATAGGGGTCTCGAAGCGAACGGGGGCCTTGAGCTCTGATGTTGCTGCTGGGGCTGGCTACTGTGTCTGGTAGTTGGTTCTCCCGACTCCGCTGTCTTCGTCGCCTCTGGACGAGCACCAGTAGCGCACCGAGGAGCACGACGATGATCGCTCCGATGATGATCGGGACCAGCAGCACCAAGTTGAAGCCTTTGCTCGTCGCTTTGGCTGCGGTCCCGTAGTCCTCGCTGAGCCACCGCGCGACCCAGAGACTGCCTTTGGTCTGCTCCATGTCGTTCTTGATCCCCTCGGTGATGTTTGCAGTCGTGTAGCAGGGCAACACCAAGGACCCGTAGCCGTCGTTCTGGGTGGCCAAGGCGCAGCTATTCCACGACGGCTCGTCCGCCAGCTCCAGCGTGTGCACCGCGAACACGACGTAGCTGTTGCCGTCGCGCTCGTCCTTCCACTCGTGCTTGCGCACCTTGAGCGTCGGCACCTCGGCCGGGTTGCCCCCCGTTACCCACATGGCCGCGTGGATCTCGTCATTGTCCTCGAAATCCTCGACCACGCACCTCGCCACCTTGAGCATCTGCGCCCCGCCGCACCACAAGTTGCTGTAGCTGGTGGTGTTGCCCGGCTGCTCGCAGGCCATCTCCTCGCACCCGGCGGCCTGGAACTGCGGCAGCGGGACTGCGAGGTCCGCCATCGAGTGGCCGTTGAGCGTCCAGATCGGCACCGGTTGGCTGTCCTTGGTGACGCCGAAGCCCGAGTCCCAGAGCAGCGCGCGCTGGGCGATGCCCGGCAGCTTGCTCCAGTCCAGCTTGAGCTCATCGAGGCGAGCTTGGACGGCGGACGGGACGCTGATGTTCTTGAACTGGGCCGCCGAGTCCCCCGCTTTAGCTCGGAAGTACAGCTGCCGAGCCAGGTCCGAGTTGGTCCCGTCGAACGCGAAGTAGCTGTCGTTCGACGGCAGCTTGGCGTCCTGGAAGCGCGAAGAGGACGCCAGACGCCGCTGCACGTCGTGATGCAGGAGCATGGCGAAATCCCAAAGTGGCCAGAGGTTTCGTGGCCGTTCAATTGCCACGTGAGACTCTCTATTCTTGGTTGTTAGGATATCAATCCTGAGTTCACGCGAGTTGATGTGCGATTATTGGATTTCTTCTGAACTGATGAGCGCATGCTGCCGCCGGGGTGCCCTGACCTACTACAGGTTTCAATGTATTGGTCCGTGACCTGGAAATTCGAATACGAGTAGAGCTGCTTAAAGTTGGCTCCGTCTGTACAATGGTAACATTGGTTGATATCTATCCTACCTACCCACTCCCCGACCTAACAGTTAGTCGTCTCCTTCCAGCATTCGGCCTACTTGAGCAGCGTTGGGACGTCTCGCTGGGTCCTGCTGGCAGCAAGCCACACCGATACGACGGATGCGTCTAGGACAGTCTTCCGAGAAACTCGGTCGCAGCATCCCGGCCATGACGTCCGCCAGGATCTGAACAGGTTTGGGCTTTTTCCCGTTCGACGTCAGCGCGTCGTGGTACGGGAGTTTAGTCGTGTCGAGCTCCGACAGCACGACCCCGAACGAGTAAATGTCTGCTTGCTCGGTGTACCGGCTGCCTTGCAGAATCTCGGGTGCGGTCCAGTAGGGCGTGCCCACTCCTGCGGTCATGGTGTTGTCCAAGCGTCCGCGACTCACGCCAAAGTCGATGAGTTTGGCCTCCAACAGCCTTGTGAGCATGATATTCTTTGACTTGAGGTCGCGGTGGATGAGTGGAGGCGACCGAGAGTGAAGATACTCCAGTGCGCGGGCGACTCCGACAGCGATGTGGATTTTGTCTCTGGCCCACGACATTAAGTCGCCGTTCTTGGCCAAATACGTCTGAAGATCCCCCAAGGGGAAGAACTCGAGCACCATGAGCAAATTGTTGAGCGTATTCCACGCCACGCCTACAAACGACACGATGTTCGGATGAACCAGGGTGGCGTTGAGCTCAATCTCCTTGGCGAACTCCTCAACCTCGTCCGCTAGATGGGTCGTGTTTTGCAGCAGGCGCTTCACGGCAATCTGCTGCTCGTAGAACTCGCAGAGCCAAACCTCCCCGTTGGCGCCTTTCGACAGCGCTCGCTTGAAGAAAATGCTGTCGTAGGGAACGCGCTTTCCCACCAAGAACTCGCTGTGGAGGAGAATTTTCAGCGTGAGATTCGACCCGGCGCTGAGATCTTCTCTGTCGCCGATCGACTTGAACCTGATCGTCTTGTCTCCTCCTCTCGTCGTCGTGTCTTCAATGGTCTGGGCTGTAGATCGTCCTCTGGTAGAGTCGTCTTCATTGGTGAGCTGGGCGTCTGCGCAGTCCCGATAGTAGCCGCGCCCTTGACACACAGGAGACTCCTGTAGCGCACCTTGCTCAGCCTTTGCTTGTCGCCTGCGCTTGAGGAACACACACAGGCCGACCAAGCCAAGAACAACAACAACTCCGGCCACGATCGGTACCAGGAGCATGAAGTTGAACTTGCTGCTACTTTGGTCACTGGAAGCCGTCCCTGCAGTCGCCGAGTAATCCTCCCGAAGCCATCGCGACACCCACGCGCTGCCCTGCACTTCTTGCTTCGAGTCGTCGATGAAGTTGGAGATGTTGGCTGTGTTGTGGCACGGCACCACCAACGACCCGTAGCCGTCGTTCTGGTCAGCCCTAGCACACGCGTTCCACGCCGGCTCGGCGTCCAGGTCAACGCTATGAATAGCGAACACGACGTACGAGTTGTGGTCGAGGCTGTCGTTCCAGGCGTGTTTGTAGATTCGCGGGGTCGGGACCACCGTCGGATTGCCGCCAGTCACCCACATGGCCAGATGAATCTCGACGGTTTGAACGAAGTCCTCCACGACGCACCTAGCAGCTTTGAGCATGTCCGCCCCAGTGCACTGTTGGTTGCTCAAACTGGTGCCACCATTGGGCTCTGGACACACGTGTTCGGTGCAGTTCACGCCCAGGAACTCGTCCACGGGGACGGCCAAGTCCGCCATGGAATGCCCTCCCAGCGTCCAAATCTTCACAGGTTCGTCGTCCGGAGTTAATCCGTAGCCGGAATCCCACAGCAGGGCGCGCTGAGCGATGCCCGGTAGCTTCTCCCAGTCGAGCTGCAGCTCATCGAGCCGAGTCTGGAGACTCGATGGAACGTTGAAGCCCTCAAACGGCGAGGCCGCGGCGCCAGCTTTGGCGCGATAGTACAGTTGACGCGCGATGTCCGAGTTGGTCCCGTCGAAGTCGAAGGAGGAACCGCTCGCAGGCAGCTCCGCGCTGTCGTACGACGCCGAAGAAGACGCGAGACGCCGCCCCTCCATCGGGACGTCGATGCGAGGGGAAAGCCGCAGAACTAGAAATGGGGGTTATCTTGAGGCTTGGCTGCCGTTGGGCTGGGTTCCCCACGTTTTGCGGCCAGAGCTTCTTCCGCGTTTTCCCTATGTTACCAGTTGAGTTGCCACTTGAGCCCTTCGTGCTGAGCATTTTCGAAACGCTTTTGGCCCTTGTCTGTACGGGCGTAATTATTATGTGTTGCTAATCTACTGACGCATCTGTTGCAAGCAAATCAACGGAAAACCTGTTGCCCGTGTCGGGTTATCTGTTGCGGGTGTAGGGCTAAGCAACAGGTTTTCCGCGATGAAAATGCGCAACAGATAACAAGTAGAGTGTAGTCAGTATATGTGTTGTATCCATGAATGCTAATCGAAATGCAATTTGAGGCTGTGACGGCAACAGAGTAGATGCCTAAATATTTCGCTGCTCGTGTGCACGTATCAGTCCGGGCACCAAGTCGTCTACTTGGTAGTATTGCACGTCGCCGTGAACGAAGGCCACGCTCCACTCGAAAACCCCGTCTTCCTCCGACAGTCGAACACCGCCAACTGTACCAATACGATCTTCGCGAAAAGTAGAAGCTTGGCCTTCCTTTTGAACGTCAACTTGTGTAATGAAAGCCCACTGCAAAGGAGTGTAAGGCTCTTTGGTAAGAAGGGCTTCAAGCCGATCGGGATCCCAAAAGTTGGTAGATGCCGGCTCTTGTTGACGGGCTCAAACCGGTGCTCGAGGTCGTCCTGGAGACCTCCGTGCTTGGATAACTTCTGTTGCAAGCTCCAAATCTAGCTTTTTCAGCAGTTTGAGGGAGGCAATCACATGCGAGCAGACCCAGCCAGAGTGCATGTAACTCTTGCAGGTGCATCGGAGTGTATCTCGAACCATTTCAATCTGTTCAGGTGCCATCGTAAGATATTAGACTCAGGAACATGAATCTTACGTCGGATAAAGGCCAAGTAGGGCGAAGTTGAAACTCTGGCATCGCTCGTGCGCGCTCGACGTTGACCGACACCTGTTGCAATGAAAGAAACTTCGTCCAAATGTCAAAGATGGGCGCAGTCTTCCTGTACTACCTTCTAGCGACGAAACAAAGCTGTATATAATCATCAATTAGCATAATGAACCTGGTAGAAAGTAAACGCAATATTTAAACGTACGTTTTCGAGCGCGTGGTAGTGACCGTAGACCCAGCCAAGTTCTTCGAACGCACAATGGCGTTACCACTGTTGAATACGATTCGAACGGGAATGCCACGTTGGCCGGGCTCCGTTACTTCACGATGACTTTCTGGCAACGTCAGTAACAACTTGGCCTTAGAGACTGCATCCTTCGGCAAAGGGCCTGTGCAAGTGTAATTTAGCAGCACGCGTTAGTATAATGTCACAATTCAAAGCATGTAATTTACTCACATTCGCAGAAATGACCCTGAGGGCCGTCCGATAACGTATCCGAACCAAGAATTAAGAGTCTGGGCAGAGCAGAGTTTAATACGTGAATCGTCGGGGCCTTCTCAAAGGCTGTGATCACCTCTCTTATCACTTTGTGGTGGCTCTCAATGGCCTGCTGTGTTGGCAAGACTCCTGGTATCGGACTGCTGTTTACGCTCCACCGCTCCCATCGCGATGTGAGCTAAACATCTTCTAGCCACTCCGCATACGCGGTCTCTCCTTTTAACTTCCACCACCGCACAACGCACTTCGAGAGATTGCGAAATTGATTTAGGGAGCGCGTTTCGCGAAGCCACTTCAGCTGAGGAAGTGCGTACTTGTTGTAGAAGCTTTTGTCGACTAGCTTTGAGCGCTGCTTTCTGGCCTGCCCCAGAAGATGTTCCCAACAGGACAAAATGATCACTTCCGGCCAGACGGTCTCCAGCGCACGAGCTATAGCACTGCAGTGATCGATACTGCAGCAAGCTAAATTCACGTCAACGTCAAGAAACATGCGTCCGTATTTAATGAGCGCACCGAACATTTACTCGTATGCAAAAGTGCACTCCGACCGGACAAACATGGTGAGTTGTCTCCCATTCAACAGAGATCCTACCGCAATCCACCAACGTCCAGTTGCCACAATGGAATTCGGTATGTGCCGTCCGTCGACATCGCAAGACTGCCTCTCGGAGAGGTTGTCGCTTTTGCCACGTTACGAAATAGCGCTCGCGAGGTCATGATTAAGCCGAGCGAAGCTTTCGTTTTTCCGTTGTCGTCAAAATTGTGCTGGAAGCGCTCGAGCACGAGCAACTCGTTCATCTTTGCGAAGTCTGACTCGTCGGCAGAGTCGAAAACTTCACGGGTTTGACACAATCGCGAGTGTGCCCAGATGTCAATTGTGTTGAAGTCGTCAATATCCCAGCCTTCCTCCATATTTTTCTTGATAGTCGCTTTTCTATTCTCGATCTTACGAACCTCAGGCACCAAATTCAAAAGGTCAGGATCGCGTCGATATTTGTGAAACAACATATTACGTACTCGACTTGCTCCCATACCTAACTCCAATAGTGAGTCAATTTCAGACTTGTGAACAGCTGCAATACCATGCCGCGTGCGCGAGACAGAAGTATCACCGTGCTCGCCCTTCTGCAACAACTCGTATCGAACTAAGTTAGCTCCAAGTTTCCGCTCAACAATTTTGAGGCGGCAGGGGCACATAGCATGCGAGCGACATGTGAACTCAGTCCCAGTGACATTTTTGGAGGTGTACCGAGTTTTGTAGGTGTGTTCAAACTCGTTGTGCTGCTGTAGTGCCACGGTCGCCTCCTGTAGCGAATCGTAGAATCCCATCGACACATACTTCGCTACGGTAGCCTCCACCAACTCTAAAGCACCGCGATCTACACCCACGTTGATCTCAACTTCGTCGTCGTCCCAAAATCTAGCTGCTGGCAAATCGAGTCCAGTTGCTCATCCTCATCAGCGCTGTCACCAACGTTGTCCTCCACGGAGCGTGCGTTCCCCGTTGTAGCTGAGCTAGTGCAAGGCACGGCCGCGGAAGCGCTACCTTCCATGATGCCTCAGGCTGGAAAGTGAGACCTGGAGAAGACAACAGATTTGTAACCACTGGACTACTGCGCATCTAAATATACACACAAAAATAAATTCCGATATGACTCGACGTATGAAGGGCATCACGTTGATAATGTAGTATCAGCATATCTTGGCCATAGAAATATACTACAACGCAAACACTCCGGCTGTCATTCGACTACATGGGGTAGTGCGATGTGACAGATAATCCAGGAGGCTCATTCATAGTATCTGTTGCGCATTTTCATCACGGAAAACCTGTTGCTTAGCTCCCCTACACCCGCAACAGATAACCCGACACAGGCAACAGGTTTTCCGTTGATTTGCTTACAACAGATGCGTCAGTAGATTAGCAACAGATAATAATATTCTCCCTGTCTGTACAGATTTCGCTCTCTCTCTGTATGTATGAAGATGAACCTGCAACTTTTGGTTCTTGGGGTCGATGTGTTGCTCAACTTCGGTGCGTGCATTAGTTCACGCTTCACGTGAACTTCGGACACTCGAAGGTCTCAGCTCTCCAACTGTAGAAGGCAAATTACTATAATAGTGTGGTGTTTTAGGTTCCGACACCATAACAGTTAGCTGTAGTGTCGAATGATACAGAAACTATGAGTTCAGAAGTTGTGTTTTTGTGACTTTGGGAGTAAGTGCATTTCTCGTCCGAAGCGCTTCACAACTTGTAGCATAGTAGAGGTTCACGCAACTTGGACATTTATTGACATCACGCGTCAAAGCAAAGTATTCCCAATATGGCCTCAATGCCAGCAATACGCCCTCTAATCCGCCCGTTCCAGCACTTTCACCACTTGAGTTGCCGTCAGGCGTTGGATCGGATCGTGCTGACAACAGGCCAAACCGATGCGTCGAATTCGCCCAGGGCAGGCCTCCGAGAAACGCGGGCGCAGCACTCATGCGATCACATCTGACAGTATATGGAACGGCTTCGGCTTCTTCCCGTCCGGCGTCAACGCGTCGTGGTACGGCAGTTTGCCAGTGTCAAGCTCCGATAACACCACGCCGAACGAGTAGATGTCCGTCTGCTCCGTGTATCTCTTTTCTTCGAGGATTTCAGGAGCAGACCAGTACGGGGTGCCGACACCGGCCGTCATGGAGTGCTCATGCCGTCCACGACTTACGCCAAAGTCGATGAGCTTCGGTTCCAGCTTGCGCGTCAGCATGATATTCTTCGACTTGAGGTCGCGGTGGATCAGCGGTGGAGATTGCGAGTGAAGATACCGAACAGCACGAGCGACACCGACCGCGATACCGAGTTTGTCTTGAGCCCACGTGAGCAAATCCTCGTTCTTGACTAAATAGGCTAGGAGATCCCCTGCTGGGAAATACTCCAGCACCATCACCAAGTTGTTGAGAGTGTTCCAAGCCACGCCGATGAACGTGACGTTATTGGGGTGCACCAAGCTGGCACTCAGCTCGATCTCTATCGAGAACTCCTCTACGTCTTCCGCGCGGTTGTCTCTGGCCTGCAGCAACCGCTTGATAGCGACTTGCCGGCCAGAGTATTCGCCAACCCACACTTCTCCGTTGACGCCCTTGGAAATTGCTCGATCAAATCGAATATTTTCGAACGGGATCCGCTTCTCGACAAGGTGTTCCTGCACAGGAGCGTCTTTAGCGTGACGTTGGACTCGGAGCTGAAGTCCCGTTCGAAGGTCGAGTTCCTCTTGAGAGCTTCTTCCGCCAGTCTGCGAGAAGCAGTCTCCGTGTCATCGACGGTCGCCTGTGACTGTCCAAAGCGTACTTGGGTAGAGCATCTACTGCTACTTCCGTGCACCTGCTTGGCGTCATGAAACTCTTAATAGGCGACGCTCGGGCTGATTGGGTTTTCTTCCGCAGGGCTGTCACTCTTCCTTTGCTTCCGTCGCCACAAGAGGAATGTAACGAGTCCAATGTGGGCGAGGACAATTATGACCCCGGCGATGATTGGGATGAGCAGCACCAGGATGATCGTGTTGCCACCGTTGCTGCTGGATGCATCGCTTGCCTGCGTGCCGTAGGCCTCCACCAGCCACCGAGAGACCCAGTCACTGCCCTCAACTTCCTGCATTTGGGTCTTGGCTTCCTCGGACATTTTGCCAACTGAAAGACACGGCAGAGTACGAGAGCCGAATCCCTTGTTCTGCTCCTTCGTGGTGCACTCCCCGTACGCCGCCTCGTCGTCTTTACCAACGGTGTGGATCGCAGCGACGTCGTAGGAGATGTTGCTTCCGCCATCTTTCCAGATGTGCCTCATAATGAGCGAAGTTGGCACCACCTCAGGGTTGCCGCCCGTCTTCCACATCGCCGAGCGCGTGTCACTCTTGTCGATAAAGTCCTCCACAGCACACCTCGCAGCGTTGACCATCTGCTCTCCGTTGCAGAAGAGGTTGCTCAGACTCGTCGTGTTATCAGTCTGCGTGCAGTTGATTTCGACGCACCCGACGGCCTGGAACTCAACCAACGGGACAGCCAGGTCGACCATGGACCATCCACCGAGGGGCCAGATCTGGATCACTTCATTCGTAGGCGACAACGCGAAGCCCGAATCCCACAACAAGGCGCGCTGATCGATGCCAGGTAGATCGCCCCACACGAGTTGAAGGTCATCGAGCCGTTGCTGAAGACGAAGCGGTAGCTGGAGGCTGCTGAACGGGCGAGCTGTATCCCCCGCCTTGGCGCGGAAGTAAAGCTGCCGGGCGAGATCCGAGTTGGTTCAGTAAGCGATCTGCCCTTCTGCAGCTACCGTCCGCACCTTGTCCGAGTCCGCGGCTCTGCAGCGCCGGGGTCCTCGGCGGCTAGCAACGCCAATTCGTCACCTATACAAATATACACCGCTCCACGCGATATCCAACACGCACAACGCCTTGTACATCGCCAATCCCAGGTGCTCGCACGTGATCCTCGACCCCTCCGCTTCTTATCGGGTCCAGGTAGGCGATAGCTGACTGGAGCTGTCCCTCTGTGAACTGTGCCCACGTGCGCGCACAACTCGCGGGTTCTCCCTTCCGGCGGATGTGTCCGCGGGGTACTGGTCGTCGATGGACGCACGTGTGCACTGTGACTCTGTGTGCACGCTGCTCGTCACCTCGGACCGGGCTCTTCACTTCGACTGCACTTTGACCTTAAGTCGACTTGCTACGACCAACTGCTTCGTGTATTGACGTTACACTCTGCTTGGCTCTACTGTATGGGTTGATCTGTACCCTACAGCGCTATTTCGATACTGACTACACTTTTACTGCCATCACTTGGTGGCGTGGGCGCCATGGGTGCCGGCCAACGGCTTCTGACCAGCACACCTTGGTCAATCGTCGGTCTTGGTCGTTGCCTTGGGTGAGGTGGCACGTCGGCGAGTTTCCAGCGTTGCCTCGCTCACCCCTTCGTTCTTCCACGCCCCTTGTGTGCTATCCTCGATGTCATGCTCTTCGACTCTTCCTCCGCTTGTTCACCCCGTCGCCGCCGCCGTCTTGACTGCTGCTCGCTATCTTTCGCCGCCGCTTCGGATATCTTTACCAGTACTTGCGTACCCTCCTTGCGTCGTCCGTCCTCGATCCTGTTCCTGTTGTAGTCCTTGCTGCTGGGTCGTCTCTCCTTGAAGCTCTGTTGGTCCTTGGAAGCATCCTGGCACTCAGAGCCTTGGCTACACTTGCTGCGTGTCGCTCGTTGCACTTTGACGATGGTCATCACGTACACTAGCTGCTTCGTGCACGTGACTGGTACTCGCTAATAGCCTTCTCAGCGCAGCCTTCTCAGCAACAGATGCCACTTTGCGCCACTAGAAATCGACTCGGTACTTACTGTTCCGTCAAAGGCAAAGAAGGCTTCATGCGATGGCAGCGGCGCCACTTTCAGGTATCGCGAACGTGCCCCACTGTCGAGAGTCATTCGTAGCTGCTCGGTGTCTTCAGGTAAATGGCCACGAGGAAGGAGAAACCGAACGTATGAGGCTTGAGACGGAGTGACAGCGGTAGCGGTGGTGCCAATGGTAAGTGAATCAAACAGTTGATCGCAATAGGGCCCGGCCGGATGTCCGCGGGGTGGTAAAGTGGTCAATTGGGTGTTGCTCAGCCTGGACTTGTCGTGGTGTATGAGCGTTCGGCAGGTGAGAGATTGCCATTGGAGAAGCAGCTGGGCGATTTTTTGCTGAAGAAGAAGACCCCTAGATAATACTTTATCATTCGTTCCTCCTGCTAAGTTATGGATATGGTTCCACCCTGTTCGAACGAATCGAATGGGCTAATCGTTGCAAACGTTGCGTCTAGAGCCGATCTCATAGACGAGTAGCTTTTAATTAACGCTCTCAATCTCCCCCTTCCAGCATCACGACTACTTGAGCAGCAGTGGGGCGTCTTGCTGGGTCTTGTTGGCAGCACGCGACACCAATGCGACGAATTCGTCGCGGGCAGCTCTCCGAAAAGCTCGGACGCAGCGTGCCCGCCATCACGTCCGCCAAGATCTGGAACGGCTTGGGTTTCTGTCCGTCCTGAGTCAACGCGTCGTGGTACGGAAGCTTGCAGGTATCGAGCTCCGAGAGCACCACCCCAAACGAGTAGATGTCTGCCTGCTCGGTATATCGCCTTCCCTCCAGGATTTCGGGGGCCGTCCAGTACGGGGTGCCGACACCGGCCGTCATGGAGTACTCTTCTCGCCCGCGACTCACGCCAAAGTCGATGAGTTTGGGCTCGAGCTTCCGTGTCAGCAAAATGTTCTTTGATTTGAGGTCCCGGTGGATCAGAGGCGGCTCGCGGGCGTGGAGATACGCCAGTGCACGACCGACCCCAATCGCCACGTCAATCTTGTCCTTGGCCCACGTGAGCAAGTCAGCGTTCTTGGCCAGATATCCCTGGAGATCTCCCAAGGGGAAGAACTCGAGCACCATCACCAAGTTGTTCAGGCTGTTCCACGCTACACCCACGAAAGCGACGATGTTTGGGTGCACCAAGCTGGCGCTTAGCTCGATTTCTTTCGCAAACTCCTCCACATCTTCCGCTCGATTCTTTTTGCTCTGAAATAGGCGCTTGATCGCGACCTGTTGACCTTGGAGTTCGCCGACCCACACCTCTCCATAGGCTCCCTTCGAGAGCGCTCGCTCGAAGCGGATGGCCTCGTAGGGAATGCGCTTCCCTACTAAATACTCGCTGCCCAAAAGCGTTTTGAGCGTGCCGTTCGACTCGGAGCTCAGATTCTCGCCCAAAGTAGACGTGCGCCTTAGTCCGTTCCACGTGTTGGCACTTGAAGACGTATCTGTGTTTTGAATAGTCTCGTTGGTGGGGCGTCCACGGGCGTTGTTGTAGTCTGCAGGGGTGTCCATATTGTTGCCGTGGTACAAGCTGTTGGGGGAGCCAAGGTTTTCGTTCGGAGAGTTGTTCGAAGCATTTTTACTTCGCCGATGCCTGATGAATACGACGAGGCCGACGAGGCCAACGACGATCACCGTACCGGCAACGATGGGCACGAGGAACAGCATGTTGAACCCGTTTTTGCTGTCGGTTGATGATGTTGATGCGCCTGAATAGTCCTCCACGAGCCATCGAGACACCCACGGAGTGCCCTGTACTTCCTCCATGGCACTACGCACGTCATCCGACACCTTCAAGGACGAATAGCAGGACAACACGAGCGATCCGTACCCGTCATTTTCGTCTTTACTTGGACACACGCCGTACGCTGGCTCGTCATTCTTGTCCACCGTGTGAACAGCGAGTACAGTGTACGGGATCTTGGTCGAGTCCTCTTCCCACTCGTGCTTCCTGACCCGCGGAACCGGGATCGACTTTGGGTTTCCGCCGGTGATCCACATAGCGCCGTGGATTCCCACGGGATCTGTGAAGTCGTCCATGACGCATCGCGCGGCGTTGAGCATTTGCTCGCCGTTGCAGTACAGGTTGCTGTAGCTTGTGGTGTTGTCTGGCTGCGTGCAGTTCATCTCGGTACACCCAACGTCTTGAAACTGCACCAACGGAATGGCAAGGTCCGCCATGGAGTGGCCTCCTAGCGTCCACATCTGCACCGGTTTGCTGTCCAGTGTGATGCCAAATCCCGTATCCCACAGCAGCGCAAGCTGAGCGTTGCCCGACAGACCGTCCCAGCCAATGTTGAGGTCGTTGAGCCGTTGTTGGATCTTGTCGGGCACTTGGAAGTTCGTGAAGGGCTTTGCAGAGTCGCCAGCTTTCGCGCGCAGGTACAACTGCCTCGCGAGGTCCGAATTCGTCCCGTCGAATTGAAAGTAGGTGGAGTTCGACGGCAGCACCGCGTTCGTGTACGAGGCAGACGACTCGAGGTGGCGTCTGGAGTCCACCTTCGTCTTCATGGCAGTCGAAGGTTTCTAGGAGAATCGACGGTGTCTATAACGGAGGAGGAGAAAGGCACAATGAGCGATGTCCGAGCTAGCTGTACTCAATTTGGCCCATCGCGGTGCATGGGATAGTGTGGGCTCCTCTTCGCATGGCTTGGCATCAGCGTCAAATAATCGGCGGACGTTTGCTGCTATCCGTTGTCCTCTATAGTTAGCCCTTCGGAGGTGATCGGCTAGTTCATTAGCCACCCCGTTCCTTCGTAGATCTGCAGGAAGCACTTGGGTCATGAAATTGAAATCTATCCGCCGCTCAGGTTTCCCCCAAATGAGATTAGAGTGAAGTCCTTACTGACAATCGCTTGCAATATCATATTGTCGAAATGTCCACGCAAACACCACTATTCAAAGACTATGACTTTTAGGTTTTCAAACAACAGTTTCTTTAATCTATGAGATAGTTTTCTAAACAATTCCCTTGAGCATCTTCACAACTTGAGGCGCCGTTGGGCGCTGCACTGGGTCAATTTGACAGCATGCCGCGCTGATCTGGCGAATTCGCTGACGGCATTCGTCCGAGAAGCTAGGGCGTAGGATTCTCGACATCGCGTTTGCCCAGATCTGGAAGCGGTTTTTCTCTCCAGTCGTCGGTGCCTCATTGATGGCCATACCCCTGTCAAGTGCCGATAGCACCGCGCCGAACGAGTAAATGTCTGCCTGTTCTGAGTATCTCTTGCCTTCGACAACTTCCGTCTTGGTGGCCCCGCCTCTAAATGCTCCTGTGGGCTGCGACTCAAGCCAAATCCGACAAGTTTAGCTTTCAAAGCCTTCGTGAGAAGGACATTCCGCGACCGAATTCCGCGATGGAGAAGCGGTGGGGATCATGAATGCAGGTACTCCACAGCGAGCCCGATCCCAATAGCGATTCGAAGAACGTCCTTGGCTAAGAGTGACGCGGTGTTCTTGGCCAAATATGCTTGCAGGTTTCCTGTGGGGCGGTAACTTAACTTGTATATCGTCAGCAAAGTTTCTCGCTCAAATCTAGAAAATGGTCGACTTGATCGGCATGCTCGCAGTAATTCCACTGCTTCTTCGGCGCCGGTCATTTGCAAGCGCTTACTCGGCACATTTGTTCCAGCACGTGTGCAAACAGCAGCCAGCTGCAGTCTTGCGCTGATCGTCTCGGTCTCGAACGTTTTCAGTCGGCGGTGAATATCGTAGCACGCAACATCCACATGGGTATCCGCTTGAGTAGAAGTACTGATAACCACCATACCTTTTTCTTCAACGGGACCAACCGGAAGAAGTATGCGGTATACCGCCCTCGACGTGTCGGATATGTCTTTCAGCTCCAGTACCAAGTACTGACTAAAGCGGGGCAAGAAATCATCGAGCTGCTGGCGCGTTGACAAAACGTATCCTTTGTGCTCCTCCGACTCGAACTGTGCGTTATCGTTGGCGCTGAATGTCAACTTGAAACGCGGTAGCTCAATCTTCATAACCCCTTGAGAAGACTTGAGCGGGTGAAGAAATGCTTCACTCTCGAAAGTAGTGGGTCACGGAACATTACGCCGGCAGTTTTTTTCCTTACCGTAATTTACCACCGAGAACATTCCTGAAACCTTCTTTCGGGACAGCAGCGATTTCAACGACGACCCCTCTCGACCACTTGAGAGCGAGAGCCACGTCTTTTCGATATGAGGGTAGTTTTAGAACCTCTAAACCGGTCAGATCTAATAGACGTTGATTTGACGACGCCCACTTTATAGCGAGAGCCACGTCTTTTGGACCTTAGGGCGTTTCGGGACCGCTCGTTCAAACCACATTGATAAACCAATAGAACATTACGCCGGCAGATTTTACTAGTAGTTCGGACCAGCGCGACGTGGCGTCTCATCATTGGTTGAAAATCTATGTCACACACCTTCATGTTCGCTTAAGTACGCCAGAAATTCTACATCCTTCTTCCTCATTCCAGAATCTGCCGGCTCGAGGAAAGATGGTGAAGCTCTTCTGTGCGATCGTTGGTGCGGCGGGCAGTGCGTTCGAGGTGGATATCGACGCGGGTGCATCGGTTTCCGCGTTGAAGAAGGCGATCAAGGCGGAGAAGATGTACCAGTTCCCTGCTGACGAGCTGCAGCTCTTCCTGGCGAAGACGGAGGGCGGCGCGTGGCTCGTGTCCGACTCAGAAGATGTGAAGAAGCTGAAGAAGGGCGAGAAGACTGTCGCAGTTGAGGCTTTAACAAGCGAAGAGAAGGAGCTACAGGGGGAGTCTGGCCTGCAGAAAGTGTTGAAGGGCATGCTGAAGCCATCAACGGACCAGATTCACGTGCTGGTGGTGGTTCCGGAGCAAGAACACGCACAAACTGGATTGTGGCTTGTCACTGGATCCGTTGGCAACGCGCTGAACACGAAAGGGATTCGCTGCAAACTGTACTGGATGGCGACGTTACGCATTGGATACTACGATCCTACGCGCTGCATCGGCAACAAGAATGTCGCGTTTTGGTATGAAGACAAGAAATTGTGTTTTCATGTTTTATTCGAGACAAGTACGTGCTTCTATATGCTGTCGCTGCATCGTAATACTGCTTCATTGAGGGCTAACTCTGTTTCTTTTATAGAAAATGCTGCTTTGCTGTTCGAAACTGACTTAAGGACTGGGCCACAAACGCTGGGCTCTCCGTTAACTAACCAGGTTGTTGAGACGCGTGTTGCACCAGCTAACGCTGTGTCTACTGATCTCCAGCGCGTCTTCTACTGCGACTACGTTCCAGACGATTCGGAATCTCCTCAAAACACAGATTCATCGATATCGTTGACTACAAGCGTTTCGAATCTGGACTCATCGACTGACGAGTTTCGTTTTCAGCGGATTGAGGACGAGAAGTTCTTCCTACCGTACGGCAAGGCAGAAAGCTGCCATTTGGTGTCGAGAAAGCAAAGCAGAGACCACAAACGGGAATTCGCCAAGTACGATCGCGACTCAAACAACAGGCTTGCGCTTTCTCGCGAAATGCATGGTTGGTTCGACGGTATGAGCATTGAGGTTCCCATCGTCAACATGCTACCCGGATCTGTTGAAGAGAATCAATCCATTGGCAACAGACGCAAGGTACTGTGTGAGCGCGTAGTTCTGGTGTGTGTAAGTTTACTGACATTTGCGTGTAGGTCGAGGTCTTCGTGAAGGTTCTGGATGCTCAGTGTACAGATCGCGTTTTCAGTCGTTTGAAAGGAGGATCAACCACGACGGACGATCCGCTCATGATGAAGACGTTTGTTCACGTGGAGGATCCAGAAACATTTTGTTTGTGCATGAGGTGGAAGCACGACGATAATGCGGAGCGTTGGAGAAGCTTTTGGGATATGACTCCTGCGGTCGATTGAATGGAATAATGTGGCTCCCGAGTTAAATACTTCGAAGTAGTATTTGATTTCTTGACATACTTTGATCCTGATAAATATAAAGTTAGTAATATACAAAGATGGCGTACTCTCCTGAGCAATACCAAGCTAGCAAGGAACGAATCAAAGCAGCGCAGAAGCGCTACTACCAGCGCACACGCGAAGCCCGTTTATCTTATCAAAAAGACAACGATGACAAGAATAGAGACCAGATTCGAGCTCGCACGTCTTTTCGATATGAGGGTAGTTTTAGAACCTCTAAACCGGTCAGATCTAATAGACGTTGATTTGACGACGCCCACTTTATAGCGAGAGCCACGTCTTTTGGACCTTAGGGCGTTTCGGGACCGCTCGTTCAAACCACATTGATAAACCAATAGAACATTACGCCGGCAGATTTTACTAGTAGTTCGGACCAGCGCGACGTGGCGTCTCATCATTGGTTGAAAATCTATGTCACACACCTTCATGTTCGCTTAAGTACGCCAGAAATTCTACATCCTTCTTCCTCATTCCAGAATCTGCCGGCTCGAGGAAAGATGGTGAAGCTCTTCTGTGCGATCGTTGGTGCGGCGGGCAGTGCGTTCGAGGTGGATATCGACGCGGGTGCATCGGTTTCCGCGTTGAAGAAGGCGATCAAGGCGGAGAAGATGTACCAGTTCCCTGCTGACGAGCTGCAGCTCTTCCTGGCGAAGACGGAGGGCGGCGCGTGGCTGCCAGACGACGACCAAGCTGCGCTGGATCTGGAGGACGGAAAGGTTCATGAGGACATTCAAGCGTTGATCGATGGCGAGAAGATGAAGGCTACGTGGACAATTGAGGACGTGTTGACAGCTAACAATATGACCAAACGGAAAGGGCGCGCTCCAAAGTCGAGACAAATCCACGTGCTGGTGGTGGTTCCGGAGCAAGAACACGCACAAACTGGATTGTGGCTTGTCACTGGATCCGTTGAAAACGCGTTGATCACGAAAGGAATTCGCTGCAAACTGTACTGGATGGCGACGTTACGCATTGGATACTACGATCCTACGCGCTGCATCGGCAACAAGAATGTCGCGTTTTGGTATGAAGACAAGAAATTGTGTTTTCATGTTTTATTCGAGACAAGTACGTGCTTCTATATGCTGTCGCTGCATCGTAATACTGCTTCATTGAGGGCTAACTCTGTTTCTTTTATAGAAAATGCTGCTTTGCTGTTCGAAACTGACTTAAGGACTGGGCCACAAACGCTGGGCTCTCCGTTAACTAACCAGGTTGTTGAGACGCGTGTTGCACCAGCTAACGCTGTGTCTACTGATCTCCAGCGCGTCTTCTACTGCGACTACGTTCCAGACGATTCGGAATCTCCTCAAAACACAGATTCATCGATATCGTTGACTACAAGCGTTTCGAATCTGGACTCATCGACTGACGAGTTTCGTTTTCAGCGGATTGAGGACGAGAAGTTCTTCCTACCGTACGGCAAGGCAGAAAGCTGCCATTTGGTGTCGAGAAAGCAAAGCAGAGACCACAAACGGGAATTCGCCAAGTACGATCGCGACTCAAACAACAGGCTTGCGCTTTCTCGCGAAATGCATGGTTGGTTCGACGGTATGAGCATTGAGGTTCCCATCGTCAACATGCTACCCGGATCTGTTGAAGAGAATCAATCCATTGGCAACAGACGCAAGGTACTGTGTGAGCGCGTAGTTCTGGTGTGTGTAAGTTTACTGACATTTGCGTGTAGGTCGAGGTCTTCGTGAAGGTTCTGGATGCTCAGTGTACAGATCGCGTTTTCAGTCGTTTGAAAGGAGGATCAACCACGACGGACGATCCGCTCATGATGAAGACGTTTGTTCACGTGGAGGATCCAGAAACATTTTGTTTGTGCATGAGGTGGAAGCACGACGATAATGCGGAGCGTTGGAGAAGCTTTTGGGATATGACTCCTGCGGTCGATTGAATGGAATAATGTGGCTCCCGAGTTAAATACTTCGAAGTAGTATTTGATTTCTTGACATACTTTGATCCTGATAAATATAAAGTTAGTAATATACAAAGATGGCGTACTCTCCTGAGCAATACCAAGCTAGCAAGGAACGAATCAAAGCAGCGCAGAAGCGCTACTACCAGCGCACACGCGAAGCCCGTTTATCTTATCAAAAAGACAACGATGACAAGAATAGAGACCAGATTCGAGCTCGCACGTCTTTTCGATATGAGGGTAGTTTTAGAACCTCTAAACCGGTCAGATCTAATAGACGTTGATTTGACGACGCCCACTTTATAGCGAGAGCCACGTCTTTTGGACCTTAGGGCGTTTCGGGACCGCTCGTTCAAACCACATTGATAAACCAATAGAACATTACGCCGGCAGATTTTACTAGTAGTTCGGACCAGCGCGACGTGGCGTCTCATCATTGGTTGAAAATCTATGTCACACACCTTCATGTTCGCTTAAGTACGCCAGAAATTCTACATCCTTCTTCCTCATTCCAGAATCTGCCGGCTCGAGGAAAGATGGTGAAGCTCTTCTGTGCGATCGTTGGTGCGGCGGGCAGTGCGTTCGAGGTGGATATCGACGCGGGTGCATCGGTTTCCGCGTTGAAGAAGGCGATCAAGGCGGAGAAGATGTACCAGTTCCCTGCTGACGAGCTGCAGCTCTTCCTGGCGAAGACGGAGGGCGGCGCGTGGCTGCCAGACGACGACCAAGCTGCGCTGGATCTGGAGGACGGAAAGGTTCATGAGGACATTCAAGCGTTGATCGATGGCGAGAAGATGAAGGCTACGTGGACAATTGAGGACGTGTTGACAGCTAACAATATGACCAAACGGAAAGGGCGCGCTCCAAAGTCGAGACAAATCCACGTGCTGGTGGTGGTTCCGGAGCAAGAACACGCACAAACTGGATTGTGGCTTGTCACTGGATCCGTTGAAAACGCGTTGATCACGAAAGGAATTCGCTGCAAACTGTACTGGATGGCGACGTTACGCATTGGATACTACGATCCTACGCGCTGCATCGGCAACAAGAATGTCGCGTTTTGGTATGAAGACAAGAAATTGTGTTTTCATGTTTTATTCGAGACAAGTACGTGCTTCTATATGCTGTCGCTGCATCGTAATACTGCTTCATTGAGGGCTAACTCTGTTTCTTTTATAGAAAATGCTGCTTTGCTGTTCGAAACTGACTTAAGGACTGGGCCACAAACGCTGGGCTCTCCGTTAACTAACCAGGTTGTTGAGACGCGTGTTGCACCAGCTAACGCTGTGTCTACTGATCTCCAGCGCGTCTTCTACTGCGACTACGTTCCAGACGATTCGGAATCTCCTCAAAACACAGTTTCATCGATATCGTTGACTACAAGCGTTTCGAATCTGGACCCATCGACTGACGAGTTTCGTTTTCAGCGGATTGAGGACGAGAAGTTCTTCCTACCGTACGGCAAGGCAGAAAGCTGCCATTTGGTGTCGAGAAAGCAAAGCAGAGACCACAAACGGGAATTCGCCAAGTACGATCGCGACTCAAACAACAGGCTTGCGCTTTCTCGCGAAATGCATGGTTGGTTCGACGGTATGAGCATTGAGGTTCCCATCGTCAACATGCTACCCGGATCTGTTGAAGAGAATCAATCCATTGGCAACAGACGCAAGGTACTGTGTGAGCGCGTAGTTCTGGTGTGTGTAAGTTTACTGACATTTGCGTGTAGGTCGAGGTCTTCGTGAAGGTTCTGGATGCTCAGTGCACAGATCGCGTTTTCAGTCGTTTGAAAGGAGGATCAACCACGACGGACGATCCGCTCATGATGAAGACGTTTGTTCACGTGGAGGATCCAGAAACATTTTGTTTGTGCATGAGGTGGAAGCACGACGATAATGCGGAGCGTTGGAGAAGCTTTTGGGATATGACTCCTGCGGTCGATTGAATGGAATAATGTGGCTCCCGAGTTAAATACTTCGAAGTAGTATTTGATTTCTTGACATACTTTGATCCTGATAAATATAAAGTTAGTAATATACAAAGATGGCGTACTCTCCTGAGCAATACCAAGCTAGCAAGGAACGAATCAAAGCAGCGCAGAAGCGCTACTACCAGCGCACACGCGAAGCCCGTTTATCTTATCAAAAAGACAACGATGACAAGAATAGAGACCAGACGGTCGATTGAATGGAATAATGTGGCTCCCGAGTTAAATACTTCGAAGTAGTATTTGATTTCTTGACATACTTTGATCCTGATAAATATAAAGTTAGTAATATACAAAGATGGCGTACTCTCCTGAGCAATACCAAGCTAGCAAGGAACGAATCAAAGCAGCGCAGAAGCGCTACTACCAGCGCACACGCGAAGCCCGTTTATCTTATCAAAAAGACAACGATGACAAGAATAGAGACCAGATTCGAGCTCGCACGTCTTTTCGATATGAGGGTAGTTTTAGAACCTCTAAACCGGTCAGATCTAATAGACGTTGATTTGACGACGCCCACTTTATAGCGAGAGCCACGTCTTTTGGACCTTAGGGCGTTTCGGGACCGCTCGTTCAAACCACATTGATAAACCAATAGAACATTACGCCGGCAGATTTTACTAGTAGTTCGGACCAGCGCGACGTGGCGTCTCATCATTGGTTGAAAATCTATGTCACACACCTTCATGTTCGCTTAAGTACGCCAGAAATTCTACATCCTTCTTCCTCATTCCAGAATCTGCCGGCTCGAGGAAAGATGGTGAAGCTCTTCTGTGCGATCGTTGGTGCGGCGGGCAGTGCGTTCGAGGTGGATATCGACGCGGGTGCATCGGTTTCCGCGTTGAAGGACGCGATCAAGGCGAAGAACCCGGCGACTATCACGTGCGACGCCAAGGACCTGCAGCTCTTCCTGGCGAAGACGGAGGGCGGCGCGTGGCTGCCAGACGACGACCAAGCTGCGCTGGATCTGGAGGACGGAAAGGTTCATGAGGACATTCAAGCGTTGATCGATGGCGAGAAGATGAAGGCTACGTGGACAATTGAGGACGTGTTGACAGCTAACAATATGACCAAACGGAAAGGGCGCGCTCCAAAGTCGAGACAAATCCACGTGCTGGTGGTGGTTCCGGAGCAAGAACACGCACAAACTGGATTGTGGCTTGTCACTGGATCCGTTGAAAACGCGTTGATCACGAAAGGAATTCGCTGCAAACTGTACTGGATGGCGACGTTACGCATTGGATACTACGATCCTACGCGCTGCATCGGCAACAAGAATGTCGCGTTTTGGTATGAAGACAAGAAATTGTGTTTTCATGTTTTATTCGAGACAAGTACGTGCTTCTATATGCTGTCGCTGCATCGTAATACTGCTTCATTGAGGGCTAACTCTGTTTCTTTTATAGAAAATGCTGCTTTGCTGTTCGAAACTGACTTAAGGACTGGGCCACAAACGCTGGGCTCTCCGTTAACTAACCAGGTTGTTGAGACGCGTGTTGCACCAGCTAACGCTGTGTCTACTGATCTCCAGCGCGTCTTCTACTGCGACTACGTTCCAGACGATTCGGAATCTCCTCAAAACACAGTTTCATCGATATCGTTGACTACAAGCGTTTCGAATCTGGACCCATCGACTGACGAGTTTCGTTTTCAGCGGATTGAGGACGAGAAGTTCTTCCTACCGTACGGCAAGGCAGAAAGCTGCCATTTGGTGTCGAGAAAGCAAAGCAGAGACCACAAACGGGAATTCGCCAAGTACGATCGCGACTCAAACAACAGGCTTGCGCTTTCTCGCGAAATGCATGGTTGGTTCGACGGTATGAGCATTGAGGTTCCCATCGTCAACATGCTACCCGGATCTGTTGAAGAGAATCAATCCATTGGCAACAGACGCAAGGTACTGTGTGAGCGCGTAGTTCTGGTGTGTGTAAGTTTACTGACATTTGCGTGTAGGTCGAGGTCTTCGTGAAGGTTCTGGATGCTCAGTGCACAGATCGCGTTTTCAGTCGTTTGAAAGGAGGATCAACCACGACGGACGATCCGCTCATGATGAAGACGTTTGTTCACGTGGAGGATCCAGAAACATTTTGTTTGTGCATGAGGTGGAAGCACGACGATAATGCGGAGCGTTGGAGAAGCTTTTGGGATATGACTCCTGCGGTCGATTGAATGGAATAATGTGGCTCCCGAGTTAAATACTTCGAAGTAGTATTTGATTTCTTGACATACTTTGATCCTGATAAATATAAAGTTAGTAATATACAAAGATGGCGTACTCTCCTGAGCAATACCAAGCTAGCAAGGAACGAATCAAAGCAGCGCAGAAGCGCTACTACCAGCGCACACGCGAAGCCCGTTTATCTTATCAAAAAGACAACGATGACAAGAATAGAGACCAGATTCGAGCTCGCACGTCTTTTCGATATGAGGGTAGTTTTAGAACCTCTAAACCGGTCAGATCTAATAGACGTTGATTTGACGACGCCCACTTTATAGCGAGAGCCACGTCTTTTGGACCTTAGGGCGTTTCGGGACCGCTCGTTCAAACCACATTGATAAACCAATAGAACATTACGCCGGCAGATTTTACTAGTAGTTCGGACCAGCGCGACGTGGCGTCTCATCATTGGTTGAAAATCTATGTCACACACCTTCATGTTCGCTTAAGTACGCCAGAAATTCTACATCCTTCTTCCTCATTCCAGAATCTGCCGGCTCGAGGAAAGATGGTGAAGCTCTTCTGTGCGATCGTTGGTGCGGCGGGCAGTGCGTTTCCTGTGGACATTGACGCGGGTCAGTCGGTGGGAGACTTGAAGGACGCGACCAAGGCGAAGAACCCGGCGACTATCACGTGCGACGCCAAGGACCTGCAGCTCTTCCTGGCGAAGACGGAGGGCGGCGCGTGGCTCGTGTCCGACTCAGAAGATGTGAAGAAGCTGAAGAAGGGCGAGAAGACTGTCGCAGTTGAGGCTTTAACAAGCGAAGAGAAGGAGCTACAGGGGGAGTCTGGCCTGCAGAAAGTGTTGAAGGGCATGCAGAAGCCATCAACGGACCAGATTCACGTGCTGGTGGTGGTTCCGGAGCAAGAACACGCACAAACTGGATTGTGGCTTGTCACTGGATCCGTTGGCAACGCGCTGAACACGAAAGGGATTCGCTGCAAACTGTACTGGATGGCGACGTTACGCATTGGATACTACGATCCTACGCGCTGCATCGGCAACAAGAATGTCGCGTTTTGGTATGAAGACAAGAAATTGTGTTTTCATGTTTTATTCGAGACAAGTACGTGCTTCTATATGCTGTCGCTGCATCGTAATACTGCTTCATTGAGGGCTAACTCTGTTTCTTTTATAGAAAATGCTGCTTTGCTGTTCGAAACTGACTTAAGGACTGGGCCACAAACGCTGGGCTCTCCGTTAACTAACCAGGTTGTTGAGACGCGTGTTGCACCAGCTAACGCTGTGTCTACTGATCTCCAGCGCGTCTTCTACTGCGACTACGTTCCAGACGATTCGGAATCTCCTCAAAACACAGTTTCATCGATATCGTTGACTACAAGCGTTTCGAATCTGGACCCATCGACTGACGAGTTTCGTTTTCAGCGGATTGAGGACGAGAAGTTCTTCCTACCGTACGGCAAGGCAGAAAGCTGCCATTTGGTGTCGAGAAAGCAAAGCAGAGACCACAAACGGGAATTCGCCAAGTACGATCGCGACTCAAACAACAGGCTTGCGCTTTCTCGCGAAATGCATGGTTGGTTCGACGGTATGAGCATTGAGGTTCCCATCGTCAACATGCTACCCGGATCTGTTGAAGAGAATCAATCCATTGGCAACAGACGCAAGGTACTGTGTGAGCGCGTAGTTCTGGTGTGTGTAAGTTTACTGACATTTGCGTGTAGGTCGAGGTCTTCGTGAAGGTTCTGGATGCTCAGTGCACAGATCGCGTTTTCAGTCGTTTGAAAGGAGGATCAACCACGACGGACGATCCGCTCATGATGAAGACGTTTGTTCACGTGGAGGATCCAGAAACATTTTGTTTGTGCATGAGGTGGAAGCACGACGATAATGCGGAGCGTTGGAGAAGCTTTTGGGATATGACTCCTGCGGTCGATTGAATGGAATAATGTGGCTCCCGAGTTAAATACTTCGAAGTAGTATTTGATTTCTTGACATACTTTGATCCTGATAAATATAAAGTTAGTAATATACAAAGATGGCGTACTCTCCTGAGCAATACCAAGCTAGCAAGGAACGAATCAAAGCAGCGCAGAAGCGCTACTACCAGCGCACACGCGAAGCCCGTTTATCTTATCAAAAAGACAACGATGACAAGAATAGAGACCAGATTCGAGCTCGCACGTCTTTTCGATATGAGGGTAGTTTTAGAACCTCTAAACCGGTCAGATCTAATAGACGTTGATTTGACGACGCCCACTTTATAGCGAGAGCCACGTCTTTTGGACCTTCGCTCGTTCAAACTATATTGATAAAACCAATAGAACATTACGCCGGCAGATTTTACTAGTAGTTCGGACCAGCGCGACGTGGCGTCTCATCATTGGTTGAAAATCTATGTCACACACCTTCATGTTCGCTTAAGTACGCCAGAAATTCTACATCCTTCTTCCTCATTCCAGAATCTGCCGGCTCGAGGAAAGATGGTGAAGCTCTTCTGTGCGATCGTTGGTGCGGCGGGCAGTGCGTTTCCTGTGGACATTGACGCGGGTCAGTCGGTGGGAGACCTGAAGAAGGCGATCAAGGCGGAGAGCGACGGGTTGATCAGAGCTGAAGATCCTTGGACGAAGCTGCAGCTCTTCCTGGCGAAGACGGCGGACGGCGCGTGGCTGCCAGACGACGACCAAGCTGCGCTGGATCTGGAGGACGGAAAGGTTCATGAGGACATTCAAGCGTTGATCGATGGCGAGAAGATGAAGGCTACGTGGACAATTGAGGACGTGTTGACAGCTAACAATATGACCAAACGGAAAGGGCGCGCTCCAAAGTCGAGACAAATCCACGTGCTGGTGGTGGTTCCGGAGCAAGAACACGCACAAACTGGATTGTGGCTTGTCACTGGATCCGTTGAAAACGCGTTGATCACGAAAGGAATTCGCTGCAAACTGTACTGGATGGCGACGTTACGCATTGGATACTACGATCCTACGCGCTGCATCGGCAACAAGAATGTCGCGTTTTGGTATGAAGACAAGAAATTGTGTTTTCATGTTTTATTCGAGACAAGTACGTGCTTCTATATGCTGTCGCTGCATCGTAATACTGCTTCATTGAGGGCTAACTCTGTTTCTTTTATAGAAAATGCTGCTTTGCTGTTCGAAACTGACTTAAGGACTGGGCCACAAACGCTGGGCTCTCCGTTAACTAACCAGGTTGTTGAGACGCGTGTTGCACCAGCTAACGCTGTGTCTACTGATCTCCAGCGCGTCTTCTACTGCGACTACGTTCCAGACGATTCGGAATCTCCTCAAAACACAGTTTCATCGATATCGTTGACTACAAGCGTTTCGAATCTGGACCCATCGACTGACGAGTTTCGTTTTCAGCGGATTGAGGACGAGAAGTTCTTCCTACCGTACGGCAAGGCAGAAAGCTGCCATGATCCGCTCATGATGAAGACGTTTGTTCACGTGGAGGATCCAGAAACATTTTGTTTGTGCATGAGGTGGAAGCACGACGATAATGCGGAGCGTTGGAGAAGCTTTTGGGATATGACTCCTGCGGTCGATTGAATGGAATAATGTGGCTCCCGAGTTAAATACTTCGAAGTAGTATTTGATTTCTTGACATACTTTGATCCTGATAAATATAAAGTTAGTAATATACAAAGATGGCGTACTCTCCTGAGCAATACCAAGCTAGCAAGGAACGAATCAAAGCAGCGCAGAAGCGCTACTACCAGCGCACACGCGAAGCCCGTTTATCTTATCAAAAAGACAACGATGACAAGAATAGAGACCAGATTCGAGCTCGCACGTCTTTTCGATATGAGGGTAGTTTTAGAACCTCTAAACCGGTCAGATCTAATAGACGTTGATTTGACGACGCCCACTTTATAGCGAGAGCCACGTCTTTTGGACCTTCGCTCGTTCAAACTATATTGATAAAACCAATAGAACATTACGCCGGCAGATTTTACTAGTAGTTCGGACCAGCGCGACGTGGCGTCTCATCATTGGTTGAAAATCTATGTCACACACCTTCATGTTCGCTTAAGTACGCCAGAAATTCTACATCCTTCTTCCTCATTCCAGAATCTGCCGGCTCGAGGAAAGATGGTGAAGCTCTTCTGTGCGATCGTTGGTGCGGCGGGCAGTGCGTTTCCTGTGGACATTGACGCGGGTCAGTCGGTGGGAGACTTGAAGGACGCGACCAAGGCGAAGAACCCGGCGACTATCACGTGCGACGCCAAGGACCTGCAGCTCTTCCTGGCGAAGACGGAGGGCGGCGCGTGGCTGCCAGACGACGACCAAGCTGCGCTGGATCTGGAGGACGGAAAGGTTCATGAGGACATTCAAGCGTTGATCGATGGCGAGAAGATGAAGGCTACGTGGACAATTGAGGACGTGTTGACAGCTAACAATATGACCAAACGGAAAGGGCGCGCTCCAAAGTCGAGACAAATCCACGTGCTGGTGGTGGTTCCGGAGCAAGAACACGCACAAACTGGATTGTGGCTTGTCACTGGATCCGTTGAAAACGCGTTGATCACGAAAGGAATTCGCTGCAAACTGTACTGGATGGCGACGTTACGCATTGGATACTACGATCCTACGCGCTGCATCGGCAACAAGAATGTCGCGTTTTGGTATGAAGACAAGAAATTGTGTTTTCATGTTTTATTCGAGACAAGTACGTGCTTCTATATGCTGTCGCTGCATCGTAATACTGCTTCATTGAGGGCTAACTCTGTTTCTTTTATAGAAAATGCTGCTTTGCTGTTCGAAACTGACTTAAGGACTGGGCCACAAACGCTGGGCTCTCCGTTAACTAACCAGGTTGTTGAGACGCGTGTTGCACCAGCTAACGCTGTGTCTACTGATCTCCAGCGCGTCTTCTACTGCGACTACGTTCCGACTGACGAGTTTCGTTTTCAGCGGATTGAGGACGAGAAGTTCTTCCTACCGTACGGCAAGGCAGAAAGCTGCCATTTGGTGTCGAGAAAGCAAAGCAGAGACCACAAACGGGAATTCGCCAAGTACGATCGCGACTCAAACAACAGGCTTGCGCTTTCTCGCGAAATGCATGGTTGGTTCGACGGTATGAGCATTGAGGTTCCCATCGTCAACATGCTACCCGGATCTGTTGAAGAGAATCAATCCATTGGCAACAGACGCAAGGTACTGTGTGAGCGCGTAGTTCTGGTGTGTGTAAGTTTACTGACATTTGCGTGTAGGTCGAGGTCTTCGTGAAGGTTCTGGATGCTCAGTGTACAGATCGCGTTTTCAGTCGTTTGAAAGGAGGATCAACCACGACGGACGATCCGCTCATGATGAAGACGTTTGTTCACGTGGAGGATCCAGAAACATTTTGTTTGTGCATGAGGTGGAAGCACGACGATAATGCGGAGCGTTGGAGAAGCTTTTGGGATATGACTCCTGCGGTCGATTGAATGGAATAATGTGGCTCCCGAGTTAAATACTTCGAAGTAGTATTTGATTTCTTGACATACTTTGATCCTGATAAATATAAAGTTAGTAATATACAAAGATGGCGTACTCTCCTGAGCAATACCAAGCTAGCAAGGAACGAATCAAAGCAGCGCAGAAGCGCTACTACCAGCGCACACGCGAAGCCCGTTTATCTTATCAAAAAGACAACGATGACAAGAACAGAGACCAGATTCGAGCTCGCAAGCGTAAACCCAAAACCGAACTTATTGATGGTGAAGTCGGACTTAATAATGAAACCGAACTTAATTAATTAATTAATTTTTTTCCTCGGATAAAAAGTCGCCTATGATATAAAGTCAATCCTGATACAAGACCCAATATTATAAAGTCGTTTTTTCGGAGAATAATATAGCCACCGATATATAGCAATGTTCGCATACGAGCTTGAAGGTCTTAAGAGATTAAATATTAACCCAATCCGATGGGGTAGCAGCTACCGTATTAAGGTACGTGGCAAGACGGGGCGCATGGTATACATTAGCAACATTTCCCACCCCATCAACCAAAAATTGGTAGCGAAGCAGTACAAGATCAGTCTAGGCAAGCTCCAAAAGAATTTGGCTGCTGATTTCAAGGAAGACAGTAAGTACCGCTTCTACCAAGGCAAACACATGGAGTCGCACCTATATGAGGGAATCCAGCCTGCTGACTTCTACGACAAGCTTGAGAACGTGCTTGCAACCCAGAAGTCTGCCTTCAAGGTCAACATCGCTCTTGGATACAAGCTTGTCAGCAGAACCGATGACAGCGAGACTCGCTACTTCCACCCGAATATTAGCAACACATCTGTATTTAGCACTCCTGTGGCTATCAACAGCAAGGCTGATATTCGTAAGAAGGTGATCTCGGAGATTCGCTCCATGGAGTTGGCTGACAAGCTCAACTACCCCAGATCCAGGTACATGGTGAAGGGTATTACTGGCTTCAAAATCTATATCTACCAGCGCGACCATGCGCTGGGCGATAGTGAGGCTGTCATTCCTAAGGTGATCCGCGATAACAAGCACGTCATCAACTTCCCCAAGACGAATAACAAGCGTGTCTTCCACTGCATTGCTTATCACAAGCAGGAGGGAGCCAAGAAGGATCCTCGCAGAATCCAGGCTCTGGTGAAACAAGCCTTCAAGCAGTACTGTTCGTACAAGGAGATCACCTACACTCTGGGTCTGTTCCGCAATTTCAAGCTATCGACATTCTCCAATTCGATGAGCTTGAGGAGTGCTTCAAACTGAACATCAACGTCTTCAACATGGATGTTGAGACGGGCAAGGTTGAATGCATTCGCTGCTCGGACAAGGACTATGATTCGATCAACATCCTGTCGCACGAGAATCACGCTCTCTACATCACGAACGTTGGTATGCTCCAGCAGAAGTACCAATGCTCTATGTGTGAGATGGTGTTTGTTAGCTCTGATAAGCTACGCAACCACACTAAGAACCAATGCGAACTCGTGAACATCGAATCGTTCCCAGCTCAGCCAACCATCTACCAACCCGCTCCGAACAGCATTTGTTCCATGCTGACTAAGTACTCCATCAAGGATGCTGACCATTACATCGATCACTTCATTGTCTATGATTTTGAGGCTATCCTCAAGCCTACGGGTGTCAAAAACGAAGAGAATACTATCTTCACAAACGAACACATTCCTGTGTCTGTTTCCGTGGCCGACAGCTTGACTGAGGAGGTGCGATGCTTTGTCAGCGATGACCCGAAGGAGTTGCTCAAGGATATGTTCCAGTACATCAAGGAAGTTGCGGCTAAGATTCAGCAGTACAACGTCTCGAAGTACGAGTCTTTGCTCCGCAAAATCATCAACGTCCATGGTTTGACTGACGCTGAGGTTCCTGGTCTAGACTTGGGTAAGACGTACAAGATGGATGATGTCAATGCTTGGATTCAGAACGGGGAGTTTGCTTGTTTCTTCGATTTCCACAGCAAGCTCACGTTCGGTAAGAAGCGCTCGGATTATGGCAAGCTGAAGCAGTGCATTGGTCAGGTACCAGTATTCGGATTCAACTCTGGACGCTACGACATCAACCTCATCAAGGCGGACCTGTTTGCAGTCATCGGTACTGACAACATCACATCAGTCATCAAGAATCCTAGCTACATGTGCATCGCCACGTCAGACATGAAAATGCTTGACATTAGCAACTATGTTCCGGCAGGCACCAGCTATGCAAAGTACTTGTCGACATATCTCGGTGAGTGCAAGTGTAATGACAAGATTCGATGCGTCTGTGGCCTAGGAAAAGGCATCTTCCCGTACGAGTACATTACTTCATTTGACGTACTCGGTCAGACGGAAGTCCCTCCTAAGTCGGCGTTCGACAGTGCTCTTCGTAGCACTAGCATCAGCGATGAGGACTGTGTGCGGGTACAGTTCGTCTGGGAACACTATGGCATGAAGTCAATCAAGGATCTACTCATTTGGTACAACAACCTCGATGTAGTACCCTTCATCAAGGCCATCAAAGCCCAGCGAGAACTATTCAAACGTTTCGAACTTGATATGTTCACTGATGGTGTGTCGCTACCTGGTCTCTCTGAGAAAGCCATGTATCAGACGTGCTTCAACAACCTCCAGCAACCCAGTAAGGAGCCTGCTGAAGCGTTTGACTTTCCCGCTAGTCGCTTAAGTGGATATAAGACCCAGGATGCTGATGCCGATCGTGAATGCAATATGACGCTAGAACACCTCAACGACTTGCTAGAGCGACAAAAATACCTGTGTGGGCTATGCTACAAGCAACTCACAGCTGATACTGCCTCGGCTGACCGAATCAATAATAAGCTCGGACACATCGATGGTAATATCTTGATCAGCTGTGTGGGATGCAACGTTGCTCGCAAGAACATGCCGCTAAAGGGCTTCCGCCACAAGAAGCTACTTGAATTCAACTCAGACAGGTTGGTGTACAGTATCGATAGAGAGGAGAAGGACATCTACACCAAGATGAAGGCGAACATTGCTGGTGGTCCTTCTATCATCTTCAACAGATACGCGAAACGCAACGAGACCAAGATTCGAGGGGGTAGGATCTGCAAAAAGATCATCGGCTACGATGCTAATGCTCTGTATTTGTGGGCTCTTGGTAATGAGATGCCATGTGGACGGCTGACTACCATCGAAGCATACACAGGGATCGTCGATGATATTGTAAATGACAAGATCTTTGGCTTCCTCGAGTGTGATATCCGTACACCAGAGCACCTCAAACCCTACTTCAGTGAAATGACCCCAATTTTCAAGAACACCCTTATCGACTGCAGCGATCGGAGTGTCATCGGTCAGCACATGTTCGAGTACAACGAGGAGCGCAAGCAAAGCCGAGCAAAGCCGGCTCGCAAACTTATCGGGAGCTACTTTGGTGAGAAGATCCTCATTTATGCACCGCTACTCAAATGGTACATTTCTCATGGTATGGAGATCACCAAGACTTACAGCTTCATCAAGGCTAGCTCTCACAAGGCATTTGCACCATTCATGGAAGCCGTATCGAGCGCGCGACGAGAGGGTGATGAAAATGTTAAATCCATCTGTAAGATCATTATTGCGAAGGTATCTGACTCTGATATGGATAATTTAGTCCAAGAGTTGAAAAAAAACCATTGCGAACCCTAAATCATTTGATGCGCTCATTATCGATAGATTCATGAATGAATCGACAACCAATCCTAAGATTCATTTGGTTCTAGACTTGTTGACTAAGCTGAAAACGCTTAGTGAGGGTAGCAATAATAAGGCTATGATTGCTGAGATGATGAAACTGGTTGGTAATAGTGCGTTTGGTCGATCTGGCATGGACATGAGCAAGCACAAGGAGGTCAGGTATGAGTCGGACGACAAGGCAATCAAGGCCAAGATTGAGCACTTCACCTTCCATGGAATGGAAGAGCTGGATGATTCATGTGAATTCACTATGAAGAAGCGAAAGCTCAACAATAAGAACCCAATTCATCTATCGATTGCAATCTATCAGCTCGCTAAGCTCCGTATGTTGCAATTCTACTATGATTGCATTGACTTCTACTTCGACCGTTCGGAATTCCAGTACCAAGAAATGGACACAGACTCGGCTTATATTGCGTTCAGCTGTGAGAAGCCATTCGTTGAGTGTATCAAGCCCGAGCTTCGTGAGCATTTTCAGCAGCATAAGTACGAGTGGTTCCCACGTGATTATAGCGAAGAGATGGCTCAGTTTGATCGCCGAACGCCAGGTTTGTCCAAGGATGAGTGGTCTGGTGATGCTATGGTATCATTGTCCTCTAAGAACTACATTTGCTACCTACCAGACGAATCTTACAAGGTCAAGGTTTCCGCGAAGGGAGTGCAGCAGAATGGTGGTCGAAACGGTAATATCCTCAACCCAGATGGCTTTGAATCAGTTGTTCGCGATCGCATCACGCTACAGGGCACCAACAAGGGGTTTAGACTCAGTAAGGAGAGTAAGTCAATCATTACGTACACCCAGACTAAAACAGCTCTAAACTACTATTATGACAAGCGTCGTGTACTTGCGGATGGTATCACCACCGAACCGCTCGACATATAAGCAACTACCTGGCAGGGGATTTTTTGTTTTAAAACCATATAGAGCGATGGATCAGCTGTTGTCCAACTTATACTATGACCCCAAAACGGGCTATGTGGGTGCCCAAGCCTTATACCAGAAGGCTAAAGAACTGGAGCCGAAGATTACGATGAGAATCGTCAAGGAATGGTACTCAAACCAGAGCGATATTCAGCGATTTCAGGAGCAGAAGAAGCGATACGATGGGTTCAAAA